AAGGAGGAGATCGGCGGTTGAGCGCAACAGCTCGGCTTTTTCAGCAGCCGAAACCGTCCGACTTTTTCGGGGCAAGAAGTTGAGAACAAAGCTTTAATCTTGGTTATTGCGCCACAACAGCCTCAATTAGTTTCCCGTAGCGCGCTAACTTCGCGAATTTCCCCGCGCTCGAGATTAATGAAGGGTGCATGTACGGAGCTCATTATACGCACGTATTTCCGTTGATAAGACGCTAAAGGAAAAAAGAACTCCAAATTCGATAGAAACTATGAACACCGCATCCCAGGTGAAACGGGAAAATGGCGATTACGTCCAAATGAAGAGGAAATGACTATAAAACACATTTCGATCATTTTTTTGACATTTTCACATCATTTTCACGTCATTGTTATTTTCTGAGATATTTGGGGCGGAATCATTCGTTCCTTTGTCCGACATTCCTTCACCGTGATATCGCAAAATGTTGCGTTATCGCGGAAGCTAAGAAAGCATCGGTGACGTGCCGATGTCCCTCGTTATGATCCGCGGCGCATTAAAATATTCAATGAACGTTCGCGAGAAGTATTTCAACGTATATATCATGTCGAGGGCGTCCTCGAGAAGTTCTATAGAGATAAAGGGAGAGAAAGAGAGAGAAATAGCCCGCGCTTCCTTTCCTAGTTCCGATTGACAGATTATTTTAAATCAGCCGGCGCGCGGCACCTCGCGCATTCCGAAGCGGCTCTCTTGGTGGATGCAAATACGCTCTTGAGAAAATCGCTCGGATATATCGATGACGTGACTTTGTGAATCACGTCAGTTACACGGCGTTGCAACTTGCGCGAATGCGCGACGAGCAGTTGGCATTCCTAGAGACACGCGAGAATTTATTGTCGTGCTACGTGCCCCTTACATTTCCCGTAAAAGAGGCGAACTGACGCCTACCGCGGCATAATTCACCGTTCGCCGGCTCGTCCTCTCATCGGATTCTGCCTCTAATGTTATGTCGGGTTTATTTCGCCGCTAATGTCCACGATCGATAATCGTACGCGCCGTAATGAGAAGACGAAGAGGAGGACGAAGACGCATGACCTTCGCTCGATGCGCAAAAAGGAAAAATCGCGACATCTCGCTGAAGTGCTATTTAACGCGATTCATTTCGATGATATATATTTTTTATCAGGTTTAGGTGTAAATTAATTAAAGTTAAAAATTATATATATATGCAGAAAAAGGTTTCTTTGGATTTAGTATACGTTTTTGCTTGATTTGGGTTAGTTTAATATCAAACATCATTTTATTTGAATGAAAATGTTGTTTCACTATGAATAAACCATGTTATTTGATAGAAAACAACAATATTCTTTAGAGAAAATAATATTCCGTTTTCAGTCAAAAAGAAATTTATTTAATTATATATTTGATCAACTGTATAATATATTTATTCCATTGAAATAAATTTGTCCTTTATATTTTTTTAAAGTAGTGTTACTTCTTTCAAATAATTTATTGCTTGTGACAATCACTATAATAGGTTGGATGAAAATACAAAAGAAATATATATTATTTGATATATATTATTTAACATATCGTTCGAGGAATCAAACGATCTAACGTTTGTTGAATTAAACATTTGTTTGTTCGCTCTATTCCAAGAGACAAATTTGCATCATTTAAGAGAATTTTATTAAATCCGAAGAAATCTTGTTCTCTTTATATACAGTTTTGCATAATTAACTTTTAACTTTAATAAATTAATTTAATTTAATTTAAACTCAACTTTTAGTTAGTTTTTATTTAGATAACTTTTAACTTCACTCAATTATTTGTATAGACCATTGATTTTTAACTTAAGACAAAAAGTTAATTTATCCAACCCTGTCCTTTTTATCTTATCGACGAATTCTTGATCACCGAGCGCTCGTTATGATCAAAAGCTCCAAGCGCGCACACGAGAGAAAATTCAGTTGGCATAACCGAATTTTCCCCGTTGCCTGGGGACCAGACGAAAACTCGCTTGTATAGAAACGGAAAGATTCCTGCAGGAGGTTTCTCTGTTCAGTCAATTGCTCTCGGGTTGCTCCGATCGATTTTTAATGCAGCTGAGTATTCACACGAATGTGCTCAGTCGCGGTAACAGAGATGCCGTTTCTTATCACCAAGATTACATCACTTGCCACCGAGTTTTTCATCTGGTCTTCCTATTCACTGGCAGAAGCCGAGTTTTTCCACGCGTATTCTCGTCACATTTTCACGCGTCTCGATGTCTCCCAATGATCGCGGCGTTTCTTTAAATTGCCCGTGGCATCGTGATCGCTCAAAGACGACGGCGCCGTTGTCGCGCGTATTCGCGCTCTTATGAAATGTAGCACAGAATTTGCAAGACAAACATAACCCACTTGGCTTCTGTGGGGACATTAACATAGCTGATCGGCGATATTTACTGACAATCTCAAACATCCCGCTGGAATAGCATTGATTATTAATTAGATACGCATGTTACGTACATGTATAATCCCGCAGCTTCCGGCACATGCATCGCTTTATATCAACTGTACGCGAGCTATCGATCGTGAGCGTGCGAGCGTTGCGCAATAAGAAAAGAAATTAACATCGCGATAAGTAAACGGGAATTGCCGTTTTTTTGTCATTTCCACGGAATCTAGAAATTACGAGGAAAATTTTCACAGCGGGAATTAAAATTATTTATTGAGGAAAAAAATAAAAAGACAGCGTGCCCGGTAGCGTGCGCGAAATATCTTTTCTACACCGAGAGGAAAAAATATCTAAAAAAATAACAAATATTTATCCAGTGGAAATAACTTTAGTGCTAATAACATATTTATTTAAATCTAAGTTCTTTTATTTAAATAGAACGAACAATTGCTTCCACAAATAGTTACAGAATAGTTACGAAAATGTATGTTTTCCCACTTGGATAAGAGCTCTTCTCAGTGTAAAAATATGTATATTAATATAAGTAAATATGTTATTAATACCCACTAAATAAATATTTTTTTTTCTATTCTTTAGATATTTTCCTCTCACACAGTATATATTTAGAAACACCAACGCGCCTCCGAAAGACAGGTTTCAGCATCAAGTTTCCTCTCCGTTTTTCACGGATGGATCGCGTGGAAAATCGCAACTAATACTTCTCATCAACTGTGCGCAATGCAATCGCGACGAACACACGGCTCATTATTCTCGCGTGAAAAATTCCACCGCAAGTAAATAACCGGTGCGTTATAGTAAACGCGCGCTCGTACACCACATAATTATCGGTTGATAATGAGGGACTGTTCGGCTTCCGATTGATTAGAATGGACAATGGAGCAGCGTGTGTGTCGCGCGAGTTTGTCCGCCGATGAGCGAAGCTCCCGTTTGATCTCGCCGTGCAAATCGCCAGCCGACCAACGGATGGACGGACGGACGGGGGAGGGAAATTTGCGACCAATTTCGATTTCACGATTAGAAAAATCGAGACAATTGTCCATTCGACGAGCGTTCGACTGATTGATTGTTTAACGACGACGTGATTTATCATGTTAGACTCGCGAAACGCTCGTTGGCAGAATAGTTGCGAGTAACGTTACGTAATATTTATTATACGAACGGCGGGAAGGGCGGGGGGAGGGAGCGAATAGCGCACCGTTCGTGTGTTTGCTGCGTGCGATGTTTAACGACTGGAAAATAATGGAAAAATAACTCAATTTCGCCGTTAGAAAATAACGCGCCGCTGGAAACGAGAAAAACGCGGAGAAAGGGAAAGAAAGAAGCTGGTCTAAACGATGAGCATCGAATAAACGCTCGGCTACGGAATAGTACACGGGATTGTATTACATTCTCCATGCGCGTCGCGCGCACGCGTGCTGTACAGCCGAAAGACACGGGCTTTTTCATGGAAAAATCCATAACACAAATCCACACGACAGCCGCAAACGGACCCTACAGCATGCCACGCTCAGTTTTTGCTCTCGATCTTTCGATCCGACAGCGAGAATACTCAAACGGTGACCGACATTACATGATGGATGCCACGAACAGAAATATTACTTTTATTCGGCCGGCTACCCGAATCTCTGCACACGTATCGAAGGTGGAGTCCTCGTACCCGCAAGCGCCGCTAATTGACGAGTCTTCTGTATTGCAGCATTCCTCGTCGTCCGAAATTCGCAATTTCGCAATAGAACATATTAAAAGGAACGCAAGCTTGCATTAAAGAAGCAATGAGACGAGTTCATAAAAATATCGCATTTTTCTAAAAATCATATCTTAAAGGTGAAGTCCGAATGTAAGAGAAAGAGAGATATACTAGATATTATTATATATCTTTGTAAAATATATCTTAAAATATTTATTTATAAGACTACAAAAAACATGATGAAAAGGAAGAGGTACAATATGCGCTATACGGGCTGAATGCAAAGTCTAATGTGAGTCACTAATGGTCCGCGCGGCAATCAACGTGTTAACGAAAAAAATATTTCATTATGCGTGTGATACCTATCATTTATTTGTACAAAGAGACGACATTAAAGACCATTATTTACGATAGTGCACTGTATTAGAGTCTATATAAGACAAAATTAACCATGTTAAGAAGATATTTTTAGAAAATGACGGCAGAAGATGGCAAAGAAACGCGCGCGCTACGACGAGCTCGTCGGAGTACGGCGGCTCGGGCGATCCGCGAAACTGCGTTTCCGCGCGGGATCCTTTCCGGAAAAAAGAGCTAATCGTTAAGGAAATTATGACAATTGAGTAAGCGTCCTCTAACGCGGACCTGATGACATTTAGCGCTGTGTGACATGGTGATCTCAGGGAAGGTGGTCTCTCTCTCTCTCTCTCGTTCCCAACGTCGTCGCAGACTGCGTTGTCTCTCTTCCCCCGTACGGGCGCTTCGGCGACACACATGCACACGCGTGTGTGCGTCCGCGGCTCCACGCTAAACGTGGATCCGTGTAAACCCCTCTGTCTGTCCCGCGCGCGGCTCTGTGTGTCCCATGTGCATCCTACCTCGTAACATGGTGGCCATCGAACCGTCGCGTTGGTGGTGTTGGTGATGCCTCCAGGGGTATATATACGACGAGCGCTGCGGGGCTTGATAAACACTTGCCCATCAGCGATTACCGCCGCAGCATGTACACGTCATTGGTAAGCGTTAATTAAGAGGAAAAACTCGGGAGGAGAGAGCGGGCTGGGGAGGGGCCAACGGGGGAAACCGGGGGCGCGTTAAGGAAGCCGGAAGGAAGCTCGGGCGCACCACAATCCGGTTGTCTCGGTTCCAAGCCGCCGTAGATAAACCCCGTAATCGCAGCCGGGTCGCTCGGTGTGAATTTCGCGTGTATTTCGCGCACAGGCGGTCCCTGTGCGCGTGTCCGGGCGCTCTGTGAGTTACGTTGTTGTAAGTGACACTTCTCGATTATTCGGTATATAGTATGCCGAGGGAGAGAGCGAGCGAGCGAGAGGAAGACAGAGATAGGGAGTATGTCGGTGGGTAGAGCGCGGGGCGGGAGCGAGGGTAAGTAGGGTGTCCCGGAGGATCCGCTCGGTAAGGATATCGATCGACGCCGTCGGGATACACCCAAAATTCGTCACCTTCGCGGAAAACGCCGGGTTGTTTTATCCGCGGGGTGTGCGTCCGGTAACGGCTGGTTGCGCGACTAATCGGCGGGTGCGTTTTCGCGCGGAGGACCGAGGACTGAGAAAGTAAAATAGCAATTATCAATCGTATAATTCTAACGTCGAAGTAACAATTACGCAGAAAATATCGTAGAGTCGCGATTTCGGAAAACGGTTTCCCTCCAGTGACGATATCCCTCATCGAGATAACGTTCGAGTTATCCCGGAGTTGAGTTAATCTCAGAGAAAGGAGGAGAGAAGGATACGAGACAATTCGAGTAACGACGGCTTGTCCCACGATCGATTTCGGGAGCACTTAATTTCGGAGACATTTTAGTTGGGGAGTCGGTTATACCACGGTTATTTAGGCCCGTATTAATAGTTGTTATTTGAAATGTGTCCCGCGTGAGATACTGAAATTTCAATCGACAGATTAACAGACACGAGTGTTTCGGTTGAATCGCAGTCACGAGCATAACGTCGTGTGTATTATCGTACATAGTCGTCATAATAAAAGTTGCTCTTTTTGCAATGAGTTTCGTAATGTAATCCGTATCTAATAGGAAAATGTATTCCTTAAGGATTACTAAGAAACGAATTCTCCCGTTGGACACCGAAAACGTTGCGAACTCGTCGAAAAAGAAAATATTGCAACTTTTTATTATGCCAACTGTACGAGAAACCTCACCGAGAAACTTCGATCTAACACCACCCTCGGATCCGTGTGTCTCGTGTGAAGCGAGCTTCAAGTCACGACTGTTAATTAACGCGAGTTTTAATGCCGAGACTTGAAGAGTTACGAAGCGTGACACCGTCCGAGTAAAGTTTTTTACGCGCGAATAATCGTCTCTATCTCGAAGCGTCGTGCGCTGCTCGTTAAACGCAACTGTTACCGAACGCCCCTCGTATCCCGTGACAGATATCCACACGAAGATCAAGATAGCGGAGATTCGTCTCCGTTGAAAATCTCGAAACAACTGCGGTAGTGCGTTCGTAACGTTTCCGGATGGTAAAAGTTTCTCATCGCGCTTTACGTTTCAACTCGCAGTATCGTTTCATTCGCGGAGCATCATCACTCTCGTTCCACGGACAAAGTGAAGTGAATGATTATCAATTCTATAATTCCAATATCAAAGTAATTATCATATTTCACTGTACATTCTTCTTTATATTAAACATCGCATAAATTCACAAATCTTTTTTAACTTCAGACATTATGAATTGAAATTCGCTGCTCTCAGCCATTAAAAAGTTCTCACTATCATCTTTCAAATTAGCCATTTTCAATCATTATCTTCACTCGCAAAGTATTGGTGATTAACTGTCATCCTCATTTCATCGTGCGCTTTAGATTCTCATTATCATTATTATAATTGTAATTTGTACTTTTATTATAAATTTCTCTTCCTTTCCTTCTTCTTTTCTTTCTCTCTTCTTTTTTCTGCTGCGATTCTCTGCAACTTATGTTTTATTTACCCTTTGTTGCTCGACTTATCCCACAGCGTAACAAATCAGATTCTATTCCACTCTATTCTACGTTAGATTGCTGCAAAAGGTTCGGCATTTTTCCGTCAAAATCTCGGAAGCTTGGCGATTAAAAAGACAACAGGAGGCTCTCGTGAGTTGTCTAAAGAAACACTGCGTCGATGTTCACTTGATTCGTAAACATTATCAATCCTTCGAAATTAAATGATTCTGTCCTCTTTATTTGACGAGCAAGACGAACCTATTGCACCGACCTAACACAATAATTACACGTGGCAAACAGTGCAGCATCGCGGGAATAACGCGAAATTGCGAGGAGGCGGCAGCGGCTCGGCTGAGAGAGCTCGGTTGATTCGAGGCGCGTCTGACCTGGTAACGCCGCGCCGGCACTACCGTGATCCCCTGTCGCGCGTCTGACTCGAAACGGTATCACTACTGCGGCGCGCAGTAGGTTACCGCCGACTCGCACGCGGCATGTCGCGCGGCACGCGCGTCGGTTTAACGATGCAAACGGGGCCTCGACGTTGGAATTACGGAATTGTAAACTCGAAAATGCGAACGATAATCTGATTTTAATTCGCGCACGAACCGCTCGAAAACTTCGCGTCTCGCCCGGAGAAGTGCTCGAAGCGCGCGCGACTCGTTTCTGATCGCTCATCCTTGCGCCGATGAATTAACGTCCCCACCGCGCCGTGAAAATCGCGTCTTAGAGACCCAACGGCTGAACAGCGGTAGCCATTAGCGCGTCCCGTATAAACACTTGTGCAACGACACGGACGTCGAACGAGGAAGCCGATGAAGAGGCTAATGTTCATCTAATGTTTATGCATCTACAAACTCAGCCGGTGGCGGGTTAACGAAGAGACCACGATACCTCTCCGCGCGTTGCGACGTAACCTCCGCTGGTTACGTCGGCTTGAATGTTTATCTTCTCTCTCTCTCTCTCCCTCTCTCTCTCTCTCTGTATATATCAATATTAAATTATATTCGCCGCGGGTGCATTCCTGTCCGCGCGCGGTCATCGTTTCAATCGAGATTCCATCGACGCGCGATAGACCGATCAATAATATATCTGACGGAATTAATCGTCGTATCTTCTCAATCTCCAAGGATACGATCGATAAGGATTACTTTTACTTTTAAGACCTCTGCACGGGTTTGAATTCCTCTCGCAGATTTATAATATCGACTTGGACGGGGGACGCGGCCGAGCGATTTTAATTGACCAACGGTAATACATAATAAAAAATTTTGTGTAATTAACGGTACACTGAAAATTTTGTGTTATTTTAATCAAGTGAATATATTAAAAGGTAATATACGTTAACAATATTAATATGCGAATATGTTAATTTAACATATATTTGCGTATTATTTAACATTTCCCATGTTAAAATGACAGAAAAATTTCAGTAGATCGTTATTTACGCACAATTTTTTACTGCGTAACTCCCTTCGCTCACATCGAGTCCGTCCTTGGGAGCGCCCCATTGAAGCGCCCACTCGCGAAACTCACAAAAGCCACAAAGTCTGACCGTCGAGATACGCATAGGACGGGAGCCACGGTGAAACAACGGGGAAAAAATCTCAGGTCAATACGAATAATCGTGACAGTAAATCTGCCACCGCAACGCGCCTCCGCGCCGATGATAAATCGGTAATAAATATTTTTCACGATTCCACGACGACTATTAAACGAATAATGATCTCATCGCTCTTTACGATTTTACAAGCGTAATTAATTTCACCGCGAGGAAAATACCGCAGTTCGCGTAATTCACGCTAACGCGATTAATGAAGTCTTAGATTTTTCTTTTTTTCTCTCTCTCTCTCTCTCTCTTTCTTCCTCTCTCTTTTTTTTCTCTTTCTCTTGCGGCAATTAATATTAAATATTAAACGCACGTGCTCCGTGTCGAAACTCGACTGAGAGATTTCGTATGCTGCGGAATATTTTTAATTCTCTTCCTATTAGCATTCGTCCCTTCTTCACCTTTCCGTCTGTTCCACCGCAAAGTCAGTCGCAGCGGCGAATGTATAAGAAATAGCATTTTCTTTTTCGTCGTTACTATTATATATATATATATATTTTTCTTCGGCAAAAGCCTGAGCAATGCGCTTATCTTAATTTCATTATCATATTAATATCACACACGTGCGCGCATATCTTTTATTCTTTGCACTTTCTCTCTCTCTCTCTCTCTCTCTCTGTCCTTTCTTATTTGCTCCTTTTGTATTCCTTCTGCTCGTATTTCTTTGTATTTCCTTCCTTTGTGTTTCTCTCTTCTTTGTGTACGCATCTATTATTTTACACTACGTTGTCACACTACTGCTTGGTTGCTTTGTACACCTCGGGTGTAGTCTAGTAGCAGCATTCATTGCTGTCGCCTCGCCTTTTGTGCGCTATCTCAACTCTGTGATACTCCATAATACATGTACCGGTATTTTACGCATGCATCAAAGTATAATGGAAACAGAAGTAGAGATAGAGATAGAGAAATAGGAATTTCGAGCTGACGAATAATCGCGTGTCGTCGCGATTTAGTGACCTGCAAATCAAGGCTCACCGATATCCGATTCGGCCCGATACGTTATCAAACATAATCTAACTCGATCTACGCTCGCTCTTGGTAAAGTCAAACCCGAGTCCGTAGGCCCATTCTGTAACTTTTAACGACAGCGTCGTTGTCGTTACGTGGTCGTTGCGCAGGTAGAACATATGGTTAAAAAGTTGGGTGGAAAAGTTGCGTATCGACAATGTCGTTACAAGTTACAACATTGTCGTTAAAAGTTACAAAATAGGGCTACTGGCCTGGGTCATATCGATGAGAAACTGCTCCAGGCTATACTCAGGCTTTACCAAAGCGGATATAGGTCAGGCTAGATCATATTTCAGGATAAATTTGCGCCAATAATCAGATTATATTGAAATCTACATACCGTGAAAGTTTCAACGAATTCTTAAAAAGCTCATTTTATGCCACAACTGTCTCAAACTAATAGCATCGTTTGCTCACGACCCGCTCAGGTAGCCTTGCTCACGCTGGCGGTGTGCGCCCTAGCGGCCCCCGCCGAGGACGTGATACCGATCGTCAGCCAAAGCCAGGAGGGCCCGAACCCGGACGGCTCGTACAAGTGGAACTACGAGACTGGCAACGGTATCAAGGCCGAGGAGGAGGGCCACGTGGAGGACGCCGGCAGCGAGAACGAGGCGATGTCCGCACAGGGCGCCTTCAGCTACCCGAGCGACGACGGCCAGGCGATCTCGCTGACGTACGTAGCCGACAAGAACGGTTTCCAGCCGGTGGGTGCGCACCTGCCCACTACGCCGGAAATCCCGCCGCTCATACAGAAGGCTCTCGAGTGGAACGCGGCGCACCCGTCCAAGGATGACGAGAACCAGGTGTAAGGACCGGCGCCGCCGTCCACCCATGTGATCTCACGACCTCACGTAATTATTCACGCCACAATGGAAGACGATCCACGGTACATACCGATCGAACCGGATAACGATGATGACGATGATGAGTGTTGCCGCCGACCGCGAAAGTCCTCGCCCCGCCCAAACGAACGACCGAACACGGACTGCTCTGGTTCAAATTGTGTTGTAAATATTTATTGTACGCCTATACGATATGCTCTACATATACACATATATATATATATATATATATACGTTGCATATATATTCTATTTTATTAAATATCGTATCCGTGTGTCGATATATATACGCATGAGATATATATATACAGAGCGCGCACATACACACTGATACACATGTACCACGATCGACCGTGTGATTGACTCGTCGTCAGGATATATGTCACGGTGCATTGAGAATAAATGTTGCATCCCAGGGGAGACGTCGCTGCTCTATTAATACGCCCGAGTCCCACGACGGGAGAGCGCGAGATCCTCAGCCGGAGGAGATCCTCCTGTTCGGCGTTCCGGGAAGGATGCGAGTGAGATAGATAGATAGATAGATAGAGAGGGAGACGTTGCGTTCGGTAATGTCACACTCGCGTCATCGTTCCGCGAATGAAGAATTCATTAGCGTTTCCGAGACGAGAGGTCGTGTCTGACGAAATAATTTCGCATTCATCGATCTTAGATTGAGGAGGAGACGCGTTCTTCGATCGTCCGTCCGTTCGCTTTTATCGTCGAGTCAATTGTTTCTGACACGGTGACACGACGGTCAAGCACATCGGCGAAACAGACGGACTCGTTGATACGGTTGAGATGTCGGCCGAGTCGCGATTACGTCGCATTGATTTACCGTAGAAAGTCGCGACGCAACTATTACGGTAAGATATTACATCGATGTAAACACGGCTGGCCGGCCGACAACGAGCGCGTCTTTATTACGACGGACCTTGCCCGCTATCATTAATCAATCACGCGCAGTGAGCAAAGACGTTTCTTACGTAACGCGCGTCAGATGGGGACCGGGGCCGACTTTTCATTACGATCGTTCCGTTGCAACGGACGACGTGTTTCGACGTTTCTATGCAGGGCTTATTTGCCTAACCGCCTTCGCTGTAATAACTGTTCCGCGTATTTATGGCGCTCGCGAACTATCGGGTCTAATCGGCGGCTATTACGATGATTGAATTCGGCCGAGGTAAGACCGTTGCAGCGGTATCGATCAGAGCTGCTGTGTAAGCGAGTCCAACACAACCAATATTCCGACGGTTCGGGTGTGCTGACGCGAACCCTGTCCTTCGGTGTTTCTTTATTAACCCTAGTTAGCCACATTTATTTTCGAGTCTTTAATTAGTCGCGCTCCGGCTCGTGTGACCGTTCCGCTTTGGCGCCTTTGTCATTTTCATTCTAATTAATATTTTTAAGCTTGTAATGTGGGAATTGGAAATACAGAGTCTGAATAAGTTGTTTATTGTATCGGGTCAATATAAAATAATTTGAATTTAAACTAAACTTCTGAATACGCGGGAAATGTGAAAACTAGAAAACCGAAAAACGTTCGGCATTTCTCTGAACTGGAATATGATGAGCTACACTGAGAATAAAAAGTTGTAGAATCACTGGAATTTGATTTAAGTGAACAATATTTTTCCAAGCACTCCGTTTAAGCAATATTTATTTAATCCAAATGAAATAATCATTACAATATTCCTTAACAAATATTTACTTAAATGTGACACTTTTTTCTTTCAATGTATCAATATAAAATGTTCATATGGACATACGTATTCAGCGTATTCGCCCGCACCGCTATATTTTTTTTCCTTTTCTGATTATAATCATGAAAAAATTCGTGTTTTATTAGCCGTATGTTGTTAGATAGTCCACATTCGCTACTTATCTGATTTTTTGCGACAAAAAGCTGAATTTGTGAAAAAAATTGAGAACAATGACTGTATACCGTTAAAAATGGTCGATTCACAATTGTTTTCGTTTTGATCGGCGATTTTTAAATCAACTGTTTTTTTTATTTTATTGTATTTCACTTCATATCACATTTTTAAATATATTATATTTTCCTTTCCTCTCTCTCTCTCTCAAAATTGATATTTTCGGTTAAAAGATAAATAATATATGAATTCATGCGTGTGTTGACTTATGAAAAATAGCCGGTAAAAAAAAATACAGCAGTGTTGGCCAATGCTTGAGCCAACAAGTGCGTTAATAAGGATATTGCCGTTCAAATCACTTTTTTAATCGCGCCGCAACAGTCGAGGAGAGATATGAAAATGTTTCGTCAAAGCCGTCGCTCGTAAGATTCAAGTCGGCCGTAACGGCTTTTCTTTCCACGTGACTCTTTTCACACCGGCTGTCTCACGTCGATCGTTGACGGTGATCGAAACTCAGACAAAGACACCCGCTGTCTCGCGGAGGACGTTGCCGGACGATCGAATCGCCAAAGCCGTCGCACCTCGGTGACAGGTTCTGACACCGAGGTAGATACGAATCAACGCCGACGCGTTTTCTTCTCTCTTTCATCTCGTCTTGATTCCNCCCGTCTAATAACCGAGTCGGACAATTTCTCCACGTGCGGAGATTCATTGTGTGTGAACGCAGGCGCGACGCACGATCCCGACGCGGAATTAAAACGGTTCACCGTGACTCTGTGGTAATCGCGGGTAACCTTTGACACGACGTCTCCTTCGCGGGTCGCTCGTCTATTCGCCCGGGACTTTCTAAAAGGTCGTCTATTCAATTCGACACGTTGACGTTGACGTCCGATAGTCACGAGGGTGTGGTGGCGGTGATGGTGGTGGTGGTGCTGCCGGTGGTGGCGGCGATGGTGATGGTAATGCCGGCGTTATGGAGGAACCGGAACCGATTATACGCCTCGCGGCATTCTCGTTGAACTTTCACCGCGGGCGGGTGCGACATTCGTCATGTATATCGCCGTTTAGCACGTGAATCGTGTACTCAATTTGTTACAGCGCGCGCGCGCTCGTCACGTAACCGTTAACTTACATAAATCTTCCTAGCTTGTAAGTTTCGCGGTCGAATCTTACAAAATGTATCCCCGCAGGATCGACATTGTACACACGAGACCCCGTTGCCAAAAGAACGGCTTCTTTTTCTCTTTCTTTCTCTTTCCCTCTCTCTTTCAACCGACGTCGACGAATTTGTCAGTGACTTTAAGCTCATTGGCGAATTCGAATTCCTCATTCGTGACTTGTCAAATCTTCTTTCACATAATTTTCTATTCTTTATTTTTTTGTGCCACTTTTCGGTTGACGTTGAACGTCGAGATATTGATATCGTTGGTATCCAAGCGAGATGCGAAGAAAAAACTATCGCGGAAACGCGCAAGCCTTGTGGAAAATGTCCTCTCGAAACTAAAATCCGCATTAAATCAACCGAAAAACGAGATTAGTCATTTATCGGTGCTCCTTAATATGTTTGTTTCGCTTAATTGCGTAATTCGGCAGAAACCCAATTACCAAATTATTATTAATGACGTTCAATAGCGCGTCCATACGTTCACATTCATATAATCCTGCTGTTCTTACTTAACGTACGCTTTAATATTTGTGGTTAGAGAAAGCGCGAGCCTTTCGAGGTATCCCACATATTGTATTTATTACACAAAACGAATATCGCTCTCTCTTTCTCTTTCTCTCTCTCTCTCTCTCTCTCTCTTTCTCTCTCTCTTTCCTCTCTCTCTCTCTCTGCCTGGCAGCGCTATTGCGCCACTATATTTCACAAACGTTACAACAATTTCGCGTTTGACAAAATATTAATCTGAATATGCATCGCAGGATGCGCGTATCGGCGATACACATCGGCGGGTGATATCGCCGGTGACTCATAACGTTTATTAATAGTTCCATAAATTCGATTATCCGGCCTCGATTAATTCTATCTATCGCAGTCTTATTTGCGCTCGCGATTCAACAAATACCGATTATGATCGTGCCGTCGAATCGAAATTACTGCCGCAATCAAGAAACATGATTCGCGGAATTTATAACCGAATTATGAAGCGGCCGCTTGGTATTAATTATCAAATTAAACGCGGCGGTGCACGAGCACAACACACACGTATACGCATACACGCAAGTGCGTGAGCAAACACACATGCACGCACCTTCGTAAACAATTTAGCACAATAATCGGCGTACACCGAATATTCCCGTAGACGAGAGCAATCCCTGCTTATTTACGCGTTCGTTCACTTTGACGACTGTAATTGTCTCGAGTGATAAAAGAAGGAGCTTCTTTCCTCTGAAGAAGAAAACGCGAAATGAAGGAGCCGCTGCTGAATTAAAAAGCAGAGAAAGAGAAGAGCAAAAAGAATCGACTAATCTGTACGTCCGCGTAACTCGGGTGAATAATATCAACGTCAGTTGCCGTTATTGTTGTCAATCAATATAATATTGATACAAAATGTATATTTCATTAAATTACACTCGCTTAAAATTTAAATCAAACAAAAATTATTCGATATATCTACTCAATGGATTTCTTGCTTATGAAAGATATCACTTAAAACAAAAAAACTATTTATTTTATTATATTATTTATTATATATATATTCAGATACATAATATATTTTTTTTATTAAATTTATTTTTGAGTTTTGATGTAAAGTAAAAAATTTTAATATTTTTGGCAAGATTTCTCAGGGGGCTATTATTGGGAAGACTAATCTTAGTGTTAAAGCCTTAAATTATAAGCCTTAAACAAAGGCATCATGATTGATCTCCATGAAGTATACTGCACCCTTAGCTTAATTGTCGCATTCCTCGGACCGTCGTCCTCTCCGGTTCTGAGTAGACGGTATAGTTGACAATGCGGCAGCGAGAACTTTCGCTATCACTCGCTTACGCAACGATTTGTCTGTCGCTTCCGTGGCAGTGACCATTTCTAACCCCGACTTTTCTATTACTGTGTAACCACGAGCCCACACCCAACGAGTTTGACGAGTTTGTCATTCTTATGTCAAGCAATTTCGCTCTAGGAATAACTCTCTCTCAAATTTTCTAAGAAAGTAAGAGCGAGGTAAGCGGTAGCGCACGTCGCAAGATGGCAAACAACCGCTTTAATTGCTTAGCTGTCCAAAAAGCGGCTGCGTCGTCGACAGCCAGCTATTTATCTTCAATAGCGTTCAGGGAGACTTTTTTATCGCGTTAAACAGCAAATGGCGCAATTCTAAAACGGAATCGTTCAGAGCTACATCGGAACGCTTATGCGATATCGAGGTGAACGCGATACTACAATATTTTACAAGGATATAATTAATAATGATTATTCTCAAGGATATAATTATTAATGATTATTTCCAAGGATATAATTAATGACGATTATTCCTTAATGGTTTCATAACGCGCATGAAATAAATTGGAATCCATATTAACGAATCCACGTGAAAAAGCGCGCCACTCATCTTCGCTCCAACGTTCCGATATCGCATCCGCCGCATTTCCCATCATGATTATCTCGATCAGCCCTCTCCCTGTCCCGCGTATCGCACACTCGATCATCGGCCGAACACAAGTACGTCACGCTCACGGGGATTATTCGGATATTAAACCACACCACAACCTTCTTTTACCTTCGGTACACCGAAATTTTATACAAACTCTTTTTACATGAGATATCAAGGCAAACGTAGACGCGATACGAGACGTGAACGTGAAAACGTCCGACGTGTCCGCGTGATAAGGCGCGTCGCTGGCTTGGTTACACTCTGTTTCTCTCCTCCTTGTAGGGATGGGCTGCTATCCAGTCGAGGGCGCGCTGGATGACAGGCGGAATTTCCGGCGGGGGCGGCGGGGTCGGCAGATGAGCGCCTTGGAACGTGGCGCCGTTCTCGTCGGCCAACCATCCGATATTAATCTTCTGGCCGTCGGGCGCGGTCCACGCCGCTGAGCCGCGCACCTCCTCGGCCTCCTTGTCCTTCTGACCGGGGTTCTTCTGTACGCCCTGCTCCTCAAAGGTGATCCCGTTGGCGCTCTCCCACCGCGTAAAGTAGCTGCCGTCCGGGCTGATATCCTGCTCCTGCCTGATGATGGCTATCGGCTCGTTCGCCGCCGATATTACCGCCGCCAGGCTCAGCAAGATAATTGCGCGCGGATTCATCCTGAACGGGATCGGAGATAGATTAGGGATACTCGTCTAACGCTCTCGGCTGCCGGTCGCACGCCCTGCGTGTGTGTGCACGTGATGTACGACCGTGCGCCGCGGTTAAAGTTCACGACGCCGCGCAGCTCGAGAATCACTTTCGGGTGCGCCTCGTATCGGGCAATTAGGCAAAATTATGCCAGCGATTTGCGGCATGAAAAATACAGCGTTGTAATTTTATATGAAGATAAAACTTGCTCTTACGTGAAGAAATTCTATATAATTCTAATAAAAATATCATATTTTCGTGTTATTCGAGAATAATTTTCAAGATTAATTTTATGAGTTGAGAGAAGAAAATAATGATTAGAAAGAACGATAATTTCAAACTAACGAATTGTATCAGTTAATTAAGTACTTAATATTTTTCTTCTAAATTCATAAAAATTATTCTTGGATAATATGATATTTTTATTAGAATTATATAGAATTTCTTCACGTAAGAGCAAGTTTTATCGTCATTTAGGATTGTATATTCTTGTTTATATGTGAAAATATGAGTCTTGAAGTGATACTATTTTTCTGCGTGGCCAGATCTAAATCCGTGTCACAATAGTCGTTGCTTAACGTTTGTTTATACTCAGACTTGCATTTAGATTCGAATACCTCACGTATATCGTATGGTTCAATTAAAAAATGGTAATTTTTTTTAATTAAAACATTTTTATACTTTTTGTATAGATTCATAAAACGCGTGACATTATAATTGTAAATATGCGATTCACCGAACTGAAAAACACATCTGTAAACACAAGTTTAAATATTTCACAGTTGAGACAAGTTTCAATTAACGACTATTAACTCGACGACTATCATCTCGCGACGTGATGAGATTTTCTCTCGTTTGATGTATCAAAAGAAGCGATTGTTCTTCCACGAAAGTTACAGCCACAATTCGAATTTGAGAAATCAAATTCGTTAAGTAAGAATTACGCTCGAAACAATATCGGGCTTTGCGACACTCTCTCTCTCTCTCTCTCTCTCGGACGATTATCGAAAGGAGACTGCGGTTGCGAGAACGCACTTTTTCGACTCGATCGGCAGGTGGATTCCGAATCCTCTCGCTACTTCTGCTTCGTTTGCCAGATATTGCGTGCACGGGACTACTGACGAGCGTTTATCCATCGCATCCTCCTTTTATAGATAGCAATGCTCTGTACTATCGTCGGCATATTGCTTCAAATGCCACACTCGCTGATACCGGTTCGAACTTTATTACAGACCGATGCACACTACAAAGGAACTCTTTCTTGAAAACTTTCGCTGGAAAAAGGGGCCACGAGTCGCAAATATTCCGCGCGCCACCGCGCTCTTGACGTTTTCTCTCCCTCTCTCTCTCTCTCTTTATTCATAATTCACACCGCCCACGTCCGATGTAGTGATTATTTATCCAAGTTGTAATATCTAATATTATTTGAGATGAAATATCGATATGACGGCATTTCCCTCTTTCTCTTTCTCTCTCGCGCGCGATTAAGCTATACCAGGAGATGTTCGGGTTCTCCTGAAATTTCAGCCGAGGTCTCCCGGGCGAGCGAAAATTTTGACACACCCGTCCATATTATTTGCGCGCTCGCGCGTGTTTCTACAAAGATACATAAACGAATGCAAAGTTCAAACACGTTGCAAATACACGCGGTGCCTTAACCTTTGAGATGCGCCTTGTGTACTCGCTCACTTTTTCCTTGAGATTCCTCTCGCGATCGATGTGCATCGCACTTAAGTGATTTTTTCTTGTTAACGCCCGACATCGCGCGGCCGTATGACGTACGAGATAGGTCGTTAGGAAGATTATAACCAACGCGAGTCTTCGCAAATCCTCCTGCGCACTCGCTACGATTTTTGCATCGCGTCCAGCTTTTCGTAACCATTTATATCCCTCCAAGCCGCGGAGCTTTTATCACGGTGTGTTAATTGGTGTATCATCATTCTTTTTAATTACGCACAATTAAATGTGAAGGAGTGAAATTTTCACACGAACCATAGAACCATAGAAACTAGCGCTAGCGAATAAAGCCAAGAATAAGGGCGTGATAGGAAAGGCGAAGTATCGACCCAAAAGTCGATCGCGGAAAATTAACTATATTAAGAAAAATCATAGTTACACGGAAAAAAGGTGTTTGGTTGAATTTACCAGAGAGTGGACGAATCAAATGCGTTTTAGTTGAAAGAAATTGTTGGTTATGAGAATCAAATTTGGGTCATAAGAACCAGAAATTCTGCTTTTTTGAGCTAAAACACGTGTGGTCCGTTCATTGTTAAATTATCAGATCCGACCAAATTCATTTTTTCAGTGTAGTAACACTTATTAAAAACATGATTCTCCTGACTATAATATTCTTTTATTATGATGATTATAATTACAAATATTTTTCTCTCAGTATATTAGTGTCAAGCGAACACGTTAACGTGTGTAACGCTCATTTCTATTAATCGTATCAAAGCTTAGCTGACGGGCAATTACTAAGTATATGATGAAGAAAAATAATTTGAAATATGCATGTATCTTTCGTCTCACTGGCGCTCTATTAGCTGTGCGACTAATTTTTTTAGACGCACTTAATTATACCTTAAGTGAAACTTAACCAGACGCGATAATACATTGAAAAAGAAATTTGGTTGAATTTATCTAAAGATGAACAAATCAAACGCGTTTCGGTTTAAAGAAACAGAATTTCTGGTTCTTATCGACCAAAATCAGTTCTTCAGGGCAGAAATTCTGTTTCCACCAAAATACCATTCATTGTCAGATAAATTTGACCAAATTTTTCCCCATATACCATAGTATCTGTTATAGCGACTGTCATGGGGTTCTAACATACTAATACTCGATCGGAAGGACGGCGATTTGATTTCACAAGAACAACGTACAAAAAGAGATGACCGTGGGAAATCGCTTCATCATACTTTTGCTCGAACATTAATCCACCGATCAAGCTTCCGAGGAAAACACATCTCCGGAGCTATCGCGGCTTCCGTCACAATCAGGATGATTCATGCGACGACGGGCATTAAGAACACTGTAATCAGGATATTCGACGAGTCCGACTCTAACGTCGACGGCTTCACGCGGCATTTCTCGTCGGACGCAAGCCAGCGACCACTCGATGCTTTCGTCGCTCATTCAGCCGCGAAAAAACACGTAGACTCTTCCGACGAGAGTAACTTCGTGACACTGTTATGTAGGAGGGAATTAAGCCGTGTTTATACACAGCGCATTCTATTTCAGCGGGTTTCTCCCGCATCGCTTACGCAATACCGTTCCATTACGCGTCGTTGAATTATCTTGTCAGTCTCGCGGCGAAGTACGCTCGATACTCGTGACAGGACACGCGTCCGTCGCGGAGATGTTTCGTGAAAGGATCCGTCACACGTCGTGGAAGTCGAAATCGGCGACTATGGGCGCCGCACGACACCCTTTGCAACGTAATACCGTACCGTCGTCGTGCGAGTCATCAGCTGCTTTCTTCTTTCCCTTTCCTGTTTAACATACATTGTGTTAGAACGGACTCGAAGTCCGTCGAGTGACTGACTCTCGCGCGCAAAGCGCAAAGAGGTATTTCGATGAAACGTTCACTCCGAAAGAGGAGGAGGAGAAAGGGGAGGAGGACGGGTAGATTAAAAATCTACCGCTACGTGAGGCAAAATTGCATAATGACGGTGCGAAGAAGTCGAAGATGCACCCGCGGTTTGTAACCTTTTCGCGAGAGGCGAGAGAGCGCCGCGGAGAGCCTCGCATTTTTACGGCGTAAACGCGCACGTCCCCGCGCCGTTACTTAGCATTCGCTTTGCGATGCTTGCGTCGTTTCGCGTTTACGGGCAATGCGCATGTAAAGCGAAAACCTCTTCCTCGTCGGCCCTCTCTCTCTCTCTCTACTTCTCTGTCTCCCCGTCGTAAAATTATTCGCGTGCACGCTGCTTGAGCGGGAACTCGATATCTAAATAACAGACTCGGAAATGCGCATCCCCGACTCGCGAGACGCGCGGGACGATCTCGTGAAAAATAAAGAGGCCGGAATGGGGCTCGATCAAAAGTGCAGCTTACGAGCTACTCTGAGTAGCGCTCGTGTCATTCTTCCGAGCTCCTCGCAGACTTCATAAGTCGGCCCGCAATGGCAAAGAGCGAATCCACAAAATAGCACCTCGAATGAAACGGAGTATAAATAACGTCTCTCCGTGTTGTGTGTGTGTATGTGTGTGTGACGCTGTATAACAAGAAACGGAGCCTGAGCAGGATGAAAATCGATTATTTTGCGCGCTCTACCTCGACGAGTATCGAAAAGTGACACGTGAGATTCGCGAGAGAATAACTCGCTCATCGTCTGTTCGAGTCTCTCAGTCGCGAGAGAGGGTGAAAGTCCATTTTCTCTAGATTTTTCCTCGTGTCTTTTCTTCTTGAATAGATTTGGAAGCGTTGCGATCGAATTATCGGCTCCCCCCGGCAAATTGGGCTCTTTTCTTTAAATATACAGCCAATTCCATCATCGACGTAATTAATCGCGTCGCACGCAATCGTAGCGAGCGACGCGAGAGCAGGGAGAGGAGCGGGAAGGGGGTTGAGTGGATCGATCGCGCGTACCGATGAGTCGTGCAACGAGAGATTTCCAACTTGGGCAAAACGCTTTTATTTATATACAAAAATCACAAGTTAAGTATACATATTATGTACTATTAACGGTCGACGCGCGCGCGTATGAGCGACACGCGCGTGTCGTTCTCGTTTTCCTTTCTCGCGTGCGAGGCGGCGCGCGCGTGCATCTGCGTGCACGCGGCATCCCTCCGTCGTGAGACCGCTGAGAACAGTGCGCTTTATTTTTTCATTTTCCATCTATAGGTAAGGATAAAGTTGAGAAAATCTCAGGAGTACATAAGAGCTTATTATATACCGGTGTCTCATGCCTTGTCGATTCGTGTGTGTTACGTGTGTTTGTAGATCCTAGATTAATATACCACACTATATTTATTTTTATGTTTGCGTCGAAAGCTCGGGGTCGGGTTGTTGTCCATGGCAAGCTGGCTCGGAATCAGGTCACGTTTGAGGTAAAGTTGGGCTGATTAACCTGCAACAGAAGCGAGAGTAGCGGAAGCGTGACGACGGTGTCTGAAATATTTAACGGACGCGCAAACCCCTCCCTTTCCCCCGGTCGTCGCCGGTAACGTAGTTACAGGTGGATAGATAGACGCTTTATTATGTTTCGCGCGCGCGGAAACTCGCAGGAGCACGGTGGAATCGAAGCGCGCGTTACCAAACCGGATACGCGCGAGCAGAGAGAAGCGCAACGGAAAGCAAAACAAGAGGGTTAAACGCGGAATTTGAGGGAGAATCCTAGAGACAAGGACGAAATCGAGGATAAAGCGCGAAATGATTGCGCGGGGCACGAAGGGGCGGTTCGTTGGGAAATTAGAGTCGACGGGGACGACCATTGTCCGCGGAAGCGCGGATCGCCTTAAATCTCGGCGCGTCCACTTTGAAAAGCGAAGCGGATTGTGCCGCCGGTCGTGTTCAGATGGCGCGTTCCGCCGCGGACGTGTTTCCGAATAGGACTATTATCGGCGAAATATGGAGTCTTCCGGCGTCGGCGGCGCGTATCTCCATACCGGGCTAGGTAACCAGGTTTCACTCCGTAAAAGCGGTTAACATGCGCCGAAATTGTTTTCGTTCCCCGTGCGCGGTCGCCACAAAGATATTTTCGGTTCACCGGTGCGCCCGGAATCGGGCCAATTTCAATTTCGAGTCCAGACCAAAGTGAATTAAACGACGCCACAGCGAGTCTCGTGAGCCACCGCCGGCCGAGCTGCGATTGAGTAAACTGATTTGTCTCTCGCCCCCTCCCCGTCCCCCTTCCTTCCCCATCTACACCAGGAACAGCAGTGGCACAACGACCTCCCCCCTCCCTCCCCCTCCTCTCCTTGTTTGTCCGACACACAGGGAAGGACGAGGCGTCGCTTAACACACAGGGAAATTTAAATGGCTGCTTGATCAGAACGGATTACGAGCGGCGATCAGGATCCGTTCGGCGTAAATCAATTTCCGCGGCGAGACCTCCTCCGATTTTTATCGCCAGTTTGTCCGCGGGAATCGCGTGTTTCTCCCCCGGTCGTTTAATTCACTTACGCGCCGGACGGGCCGTATGTATACGCGAAGAATCGTGCGGCCGAATTTCAGCTCGTGTCCGTGACGACGACGACGACTTTGACAACGACGCGGACGACAACAGTAACAAAAACGGCGCATTTGAATCGTCCGCTCCAGATACCGGCGCTTCTTTCAATTACGAAATTAATCAAGCCTCCCTCGTTGGAGCACAAAGAAACTTCAGCCGCGGCGGTAGCGTCGCGCTGCCGAGCATGAGTGATATCCCTCGGGCGAGAGGCGGTGGAAATGCGTTGTTTCAAACACCGCGTGCCTTTTGAAGTCGCACGCTTAATTATTAATCTAACCTAATTGTATTCCCCCGGACCTCGCGATAAATCCTGCAGGTTGACCTCCGGGGCGAGTGTTTCGCGATACATTGCCCCGCGTCACCAGCGAGACTCGAAAATTCGCATTCACGCGGTCGGACGGGCTTTGTTCTCTCGGCAGATTTCACAATCGGCGGCGAGAAATCGCTTCGCTTATTTGCCGGTCGTCGGAAGCGCGAGCGTTTCAGAAATCAACAAGATCGCGAATCCGCGAAAGCTGTTTCTCGCGCGTTGCTTTTTCAAAGAGCCCGTCGATGCATCCGAAGTTCGCAACCGAACGCTCGAGCTCACAGGGCTCGGGGGGTCTTCATTATTTAATTGGAACGAAGCGAAAATCTCACCTCTCACTCCCCCTGGCCTCTGTCCGCCGTCGTCCTCCTCGGGGTGAGCGGCGTTCCATTCGAGCGCCCTTTGGATCTCCGGCGGGATGGGCGGCGCCGTGGGAATGTGAGAGCCCTGCACCTGGAAACCGTTCTCGTCCGCTACGTACGAGATGCTGACCTGTTGGCCGTCCGGCGCCGTGTACGAGTCCGAGCCCTGCGAGACTACCGGCGTCTCGTTGTCCACTTGTTTCGGTTGGCCCGATTCCTGATGGCTGATCCCGTTGCTCGTTTCGAAGCTACGGAGGAGATCACATGGTAACCGCGATATTCAAGCAGCGGAAACGCGTCCGCGAGCGATCTTGGCTGTCTCTTTGGGCCGGCTCTTCCCTCTTGCTGTTCGTTCCGTTCTAAATTTTCGACGCCGCTCGCTATCTCCGGGAATTCACCGTCGGCGATTCGAGCTCGCTCGCGCAAAAATGCACGAGAGAGGTTTTCGTATTTTTTTGTGGGTATGCGCAAAAAATATGTGTAAAATACAATTTTACATATGTATAAAAATTTGCGACCATATACAGGGTACAGAGACGCGCGTATACTTTCGAATATTGCTTCATTATTTCTAACGGTATATTATTTACAACGGTAATAATATATCAACGTTCACAATGAATGATTCTTCCATTAATATTCCGAAATATCAATATTGGTAGGTATTATCTTCAAGAACCGGTAAAGAAAAGTTTTGTATTAGCATTTTCAACCCGCTTATCACGATATATTTTCTCTCATCGTTGTTATCCTCCGAAAGCTATATTTCAAATGCCAATTTTTTGCGGATATATGTTTACTAAGACTTTTTTACTCATTTGTCAATGTATAATTTGTCCTATAAGTTTGTCAGTAAAGTTTAGATACATCTCCCTGATTAGTCATATGTACGGTGTCCCAATGTAACCTCGCGACCTCTTTGCCGAGAGGTTCTACGAACAATTTGGAATTAATTTTTCCTCGGCCGAAACTTCGAGGCATCAGTAGTTTACGAGACGCAAGGGACCGAAAAAGCGAGACTTTTCGCAAACGTAACTTCGAACGATCAGATGAACAACAAAATGATTTTCGTCGATCAAATTCAAGTGGACTTCACACGAGCAGAAGTTTATTACAGGCCTTAAGTACAAGGATACGTTACGTTGAAAATTGAAAAGTCGCCGTGAATAACGACCCCTCTCGACATTTTCGATGCGGAGGATTAACGAGGAGTGTATATTAGCAGAAGTGGATAAATGGAAGGATGCAAACGTGCGCGAATGCGAGGGATCATCGTCGCGATTCCACTATTAGACTTTCACTTCGACTTTTACGTGTATCGACTTTTACGTGTATCGAGAAGGAATCACCGCTGATTTGAACGGAGAACATGTTTCCTCTGTCGCTTTGTACACAGCTCGCGATACAACCCGCGGCTTAATGACTCAATCAAACTGACGGATGGGAATGAATCCGAGCCCCATTGTCATCGGCGATCGGACCGGTGATCGATCAAGGAACCTGTCCGCGCGAGGGAAAAGCCGAGAGGCATCTCGGCTCCTCCAGGTCGCGGAAGCTCGAGAAAGAGAGGACAACTGGCGGAAAGGTCGCATCAGTGGAGAAAGAGTCCTCGGCACGGTAGCGACTGTTCCCACTCGCGCATAACAACGGAGTTACGCAGGAGGCAGATCTCGTTGTGGGCGACAATCGGCAGCTGCCGCGATCCGGTGCCATCTGGTATACCTGTTCGCGAGTATATCCGCTGACCTTCTCGCGGCACCCATTGTTTGCGTCGTGGGCGAAAAGGATGCGAATATCAAGCGTGGGTCGCGAGGAATGCTCACCTCGCGAAGGATCTCTTCGCGAAGACGGCTGATTCGCCGACGACGACGGTAAAATTGTTGCTCCAACGACGGAGATGAACGCTAGAGATAGACCGTCGTTCTCTCGTTTGTGGCTGGTCGTGTATTGAATTGAACGAGCTGACGATCTTTCTCTTATGACGGATTCTTTCTCGGGATTCTAACGCTCGGCGAGACTGACTGAGAGAGGCGAGAGACGCGCTCTTTGAGTCTTTTCCAGCGAAATTTCATTCGAAAGGCAGAGCGACAGCCGGGTCACTCGAATTTGAGCGACCTTTCGCTCATATGGAGTGAATTCTTCACTCGGAGAGTCGGTGAATGAATATTTTCGCTCGAGATTGGAAGATAAATCCAATGTACTCTTTCCGTCGTCACAGGAGCAAACCCGCTCCGATTGATTGGAACATTCACTCGTATCGATCGAGAACCCACTCAGACTTTGAGTTAAACATTTACTCCGGCAAATTTCGAGTTAAGATCGCATGAAAACGCGTAAAGAAAGCGGACAAAATTCAGTATTGTGACTCACTTATTAACGTAGCTGCCGTCGAAGTTGACTTCAAGCTGCTGAGACGTAATGACTGCATCTTTCTCGGAGCCGCTGCTCGGTGGTCTTTGAGGTGCGCTCAACGTACCTGTCGTACATAGTACGACCGCCACCAACACCTGCCGAGGAGATCACTTCGATTAGTTTCAAACCGATATAATCGAGTCGTGCAAAAATTCACCGCTAAGTAAGCCGACATTGGTGCACCGCGTAGGCTACGAAAGGTTACGTCGCCGACGACGAACGGCAACGTGAGCGGCGGGACGTCGAGCGCGTGTCGAAAGTCGCGGCTGGAACTTGCGGAATTTGAACTCATCGCGCGCTTCGTGAGCGCGGAAAATCTGCCACGTTACCTCACGCCGCGCGGTCGCGCGGTCACGCGTAATGTCAGTTTAATGTCTCAATGCTGGCGGCCCGTAAATGCGCGCTTTTATTATCGCATCGAATGAGTAATCTTCACGGTCTCGTAATAACGACGCAATTGCGAGGCGAAAGCTATAATATCTCGCCGTAAACAGAAACATATCGCGAGCCGAGAAAGAGGAAAGGAAAAAATGAAGCAGCAACGATCCGCCCGAAATCGTCGGGCGGGACTCGTTGGACACGACAAAATGCCAATTTCCGAAAATTAATGCGACGAAACCGCGTCAATTTTAGAGATTCGAGAATCGAATTTCCCTATGTTAAATTCTTGAATTCTATGGTACTGCACACAGAAAAAAATTAGTGTCAGTTCAAAACTCATATTTTCATATATAAGCAAGAATATAATAATAATAATAATAATAACTAAACCAAGAATTGTATAAGTTTGAAGATATCGTTCTATCTAATATTTTTTTCTCTCAAATCACGAAAATTATTCTTGAATAACTAGTGGGACTATACAGAATTTCTTCATGTAAGTTATCTTCGTATAAGATTGCATATTCTTGCTTACATATGAGAATGTGAATCTTGAACTGATATTAATTTTTCCGTGTAGGAGGTAAAATAACAAAATAAGTTTAACTTCAATCCTAATGATATCATTTATTCCTCTTTTTACTCTGATGATGTTTTAAATTTCCATTTCCGTTGTTTCGGCGTCGAGATAGATTGTTGAAGATAGCATTGTGATAAAATCTATATATAATTAAAGCTTCAAGAGAGAAGTATATATATTAATCAATATCGTTAAAGTAGGGTTTTATCAGTTTATAGGTCATGTAAGACGCAAACTATTCTTAAGAACGTCAAAGTAACATGAAAATTTCGACTCGAGTAGGAACAACGATTCGCGAAATTGGTCGGATGGGCATTCGAGCACGTCAGCACACACGAATTCGAATCCGTATCGCGGCCGAATAGACGGCGAAGATCCGCAGACAATGGTGCGCCGGGTCCCGGCACCGTCTGCAAAACCTTTCGGCTCGTTCAAATATTCATAGAATTCGTGAAAGTACACGCGAAATAGGTCGCGTGTGTGTGTGTATACGTGTGCGCGCACAGGGGTGAGAGGGGGAGGGGGGGACACACGGTTGCAAAGGGCAAGCCGAGGACGATAATGCTTAGAAACTGCACGGCGCAGTTACGTCAGTTGCAAATGACATTATGAAATACGGCGGGTAATGACAGGACGAAAGTGGTGCCGAGCAACGCGCCCGTTTTTCTCCCGCATGAGCGCAGAGTGAACGTGCAATTTCATTCACAAACTTCGTCAGGCTTCAATCTAGCCGAAGGCGAGCGGGAATCGCCAGAAATGTCAACCGACTTCAATACGCTTCTCGTCGCGTTGGCGTTGCATATTTTTTCTCCCTCGCGAGATTAGATTGTAGAAATGAATTTATCGAGTGTAAGAAAAAGAAAAAGAAAAACGCAAAAAGTTCGTCTAAGCGCATTGCTGAGCGGACACATGCGACGAAAGTGGAGAATAGAAACGCGCCGCATAATTAGAAGGCCAGAAGTTGCGGAATCTTATTTTACGCTATTCTGCTCGCTTGAATTCCTGGTATCGGTTGTCTCGCGTCACCTGGCGATATATTCCGCCCCGTGAAAAAGCTGTGAGTGAAGCTTTATATGGGAAAATTTGCGTGAACAATTACTTTGGAACAAATATTTTCGCGCGCAAAGGATGCGACGTTTTGCCGATCCGCGCGGAGCGGATTCGCGAATATCAAGCTTGCGCAGTTAATTCCAATTAATAATAGCCGGCTCGCTCTCCGGATTTCAGCCGAGCCTGATTTTTGAATTTCAACTCAAACGCACGAACTGCCATGCAATGAAACGCGCATCAGAGGATCGTTCCGATTGATTCCCCGTTAATCGAGCAACGAGCGATTAAAGAGCCGTCCTGGCAAAGCTCGCGGATTAACGGAGCTGTCACGTGTAATTTACAATAGTCCGTGATTTTCGTCCAACATGGGCGCGTTAATCGCACAATAGAAAATCGCCTGTGTTATCCGCGATTTGACTAATTGCAACAAACGGGGCTGAAGAGAAAAGAGCGGAGGAGAAAGAGAAAGAGGCACGTCGAGTCCTTCCGAATTGTCATTCGAATTGTCGCCGAACTTTCACCGAAAGCTCTCCCCGTTCTAATCTAAGATCGTAACAGCTCTGCGCATCTCTCGCTCCCTCCGAGAGGGCGAATAAAAAGCAAAGTGAACGCGATCATTTTTCCAGCAGTATTTCGGCAAAGTAATTAAGAAAGAATGGCGAGAGTTTTTCCCTCTCTTATTCCGTTTAAGCGAATAAAGAGGAGATCGATACATTCGAGAGGCGCCGGAGCGAGGCTCTTTTTGCGGCCGCCGAGCTTCGGTAAGGAGGCTACTTATGCAAACGCGCTTATATCGAGGATCGACATTTGCTTTCCCGTTAGCCGGCCAACCGGAGACCGCTAATTGCCTCTCGATACACGTAATTTCGAGGGAGGCAGAAGGTCGACGCCGTTAATGATCGTTACGACGCGTCCCGCAAGCGTCCGCTCGCGCAAGATCCTCTCTTTTTCTTTTTACTCTCCTCCCTTCTCTCCTTCTTCTCCTCCTTCCTCGTTTTTCTCTCGGGATCGCTCGCGAAACGTCGCGCGGAATTGTTTAACGCCGACGCGCGCGTAATCTCGTTATATCTCGGCAAACAAATCGTTATCTGAAATGCTAATTGATCGCCTCGTCATTAAGCCCGCCGAGGGAAAATGACGAAGTGCGGAAAACGCGTCTCGCGGACGACTCGCACGAGTCACGAGAGAGGCCACAAGGGATTATCATCGCGTAATGACAGCGCACTCCTCCATCTGTGCTCAGCGTGTAATAACGCGAGCGATTACGAGAGCCCGGCGAAGACATTCCGCCCTCTCCGGTGAGGCTCTCCACAGGATCATGCAGGAAGCGGGGTCCTTCGAGCACGCGCGCATACGCGTCTAATTGTGGGGACTTTTGCTCGTCAGTTTGAACGGTACGTAATGTCGGACGGCGCAACTTCTCACACATAATACCGTTTATCACGAGCTTGCGCGTCTCACAATGAGTTCGCGAGTCTTGCGCGAGTAAATCCGCGGTAAAAACGTGCGCGAAGGATGCGTTTTAATTACGTGACATATTAATTACGCAAGTTCCGATCGCCTTGCGATTTCTGCCGTCTCATCGGCGAGCCGGCGATTGTACGTTACTCCGAGTGCGATAGAGATAGGTGTTAAGACCGCAAGAGTCGGAGAGAGAGACGGCCCGTTCGAATTCGCGCGGCCGTCGAAAACGCGGAAAGCCGTGGAAATCTCGCGGTGAGAGCTTGCACGAAGTTCCCCGGGTGTGTTTCCGTTCTCTAAGTGTATTTCGGTTTTGGCACGGGGAGAACCGCGCGGGAATCGCGGCGCGCGGTGCCAAGTTCGCGAATGCTCGAGGTTGTTAACAATGTTGATCTTCGCAGCGAGCCAGATATCGTTGGCGATTACGTCGTCGTAACGACGTTAATCAGGATTCGCGTTTCGTAAGCTCGCTCGCTCACGCACGCACGCATGCACGACGAACTGACTGACGGATGGGCGGACGGACGGACGGATGATGCTGCAATTCGAGAATAATCCCGCGGAGGAGAAGAGCGATTGTGTGTTGCCACGAGACGGCAATAAAATATTATTAGCGGGATATGAAAGACGAGGTGACTTCTTTTCCTTTTCTTTTTTGCGGCGGCGAGTCGCCTTCGCTGAAGATTACCGGGAAACCGATACACCGTTCGTGAACGACGGCTAGCTGACATTGAGAATCTCGATTTCAATGACGCGCCGCGCGGGAAAACAAGGATGCACACGCGCTTCCGTTGCGTAACGTTGCATCGGACGCTAATTCGCCTTGAAAAATCTTCACGCGATCCAACTCTCGACGTGCCGACCGAGATGCGAGTGTTTATCGGCGTCTGAGCATCTTGAGATGCATCATCATCACTCTCTCTCTCTCTCTCTTCACCTACTGATAACTAAATGCGTACGAGAGCCTCTTCTTCGCAGAGAGCAGTTCTACAAAATCGTCCGTTCACGTGTACTCGACAGATCGCGAAATCCGTGAGCGCACGTGCGACGCGCATTTAAAACGCGCGATCAAACATGCGGACGCGCGTGCAAACGAAATTTGTGTAAATTATATGTTGCAACGTTCCGAAATAATCGTAATTAACCGATAATTAGCTGTACGCAAGTGACGGCGCGTCGTATCGCTCGTTGCTCTTTTTCCCTCTCTCTCTCTCTCTCTCTCGGTGTTTCTCTTTCTCTCTCCCTCTCTTTCTATCTCTCTTCCTCTCCCGTTGAAACGGGTCATCGAAATAATGTGCGCGTACCGAGGCATTCGAGAATACGCGTGTGTAATTATCATTTCTAAAGGCAGAAGTGTCGCCAAAGATCCACCGTGTGTGACGTAACCCCCCTCCGGGCACGCCCTATTCATTACGGCAATTATATTCTCAATTACATATTTATTCGACATGCATATGCTATGCGGACACTTGCGTCACTCGGGGCCGCGAACGATACTTGGAGTTCTTGAAACGATTATTACTCGACGACACCCGGTATATACGCGGACCGTTCGTTACGCTTGTTTCGGGACAACCCTCCTGCTCCTCTCACGGGCGGCGAAGACGAGGCGATTGAGGACACACATACACACCGAAGCGTCGCTTCAGCGTGAACCGAGAACATTAGTAGTGACATAGAAGCTTGAATTAGACGGCGACGGAGCACGGTGTTGTAAAAAGGATGAAGAAAGCGCGAGAGGTGTGAAGACACGTGTCGAAGGTGACGCGAGAGCGCCTCGAAGGAGCGACGACGGCGCGCGTTCTCGCCGCGACCGACCGTCGAGAGACCGTCGTCTTTTTCGCGTTTCTCCCGTTCGCGCTGAATCTGCTTCTTTTTTTATCTCTTCGCATTTTTCCCCCGTAATCTCCTTGAGTCTCGTTCGATTCCTGTTAACTCGCGGAACAAGCGCAATATCGAGAGCCGCGAGGACGCGGCCCTCCGCGTTCTTCTTATTGCCACGCGGTACCCCGTGTCGAATCCCCGTACTGGCCTTTTCTCCTTTTTCTTTAATTCTACACATCGTATATCATACATATGAAAACCGGAGACCAGACAGCGGGATTTGGCGTTAAACGCGGCGCGAGAATAGGATCTATTGTTTGTCCGGGGGAGGGAGGGCGCGGGTATAAATCCGCGGAAAACGTACTTTAACTCTTGCCCCGCTACTCTTGGGACACCGTGCTATGTTGCATCGAATCGCCTTGTTCCTCGAACTCCGCGCAACAAAGTTTCGCATTTCCAAACTCCAGGGGCCCGTGTAACGTCCGATATGCATTTCGCGGATTTTTACAAAGCGACGAAGCGGTGTTACGCGCGCAAGCACGCCTTCCCGAGATATGTTGCGTTGTAATACACGCGGCGCATATTACTTCTTGCGCGTTGCGAAAAGCGATTTTCACCGAGTTTTTGAGAATTTTTCCCCGAGAACGCGGGAGAATCGATCGCGACGTGACCTCGGCGAGATACGGGACAAAGGTGCGCGCGCACGCACGGAGAAAAAGGCTTCTCTGAATTTAATGAAATTTCTCTAATTGAAACAAATTTGACTTTTAGAATGGAGCAAACAGACGCATGTTTGATTCAACAAACAGGATTGCTTGATTTCTCAAATAACAAATATCTTTACGTCGAATAACATATTTCTTCCGTATTTTCATCCAAACATTACAGTTGTTATTACAAACGATAAATTATTTGAAAGCAGTAACACTACGTTAGAGAAGTATTAAAGAGCTTTTCTTGTTTTTCAATGGAACAATATTTAATATATAACGAAATAAATTTTCCCTCATTGAGAATCAAATATTATTCCCCCCCAAGTAATACTGTTTCCTGTGTCAAACAACATGGTTTACCGGTAGTGAAACAACATTTTCATCCAAACAATATGATATTTGATATTAAACCATGTTGTCTATGTTAAACAAACCCAAGTTAAACAAACATGTATACTAAACCCAAAGAAACTTTCCTCTCTGTGCACACACACACGCACGGGCACGGCGACGCGTTGCTTTCGCGAGATAGCGCGTGAACGACGTACATCATATTTACTAATATATATACGAGAGCGCACCGGAAAAATTGCCGAAGTCGCGCAAAGTTTATCGGCTCATTTCCGCGAACGGCTCCTCGTGAAAAATTCTGCTGATATCGGGTCGCGCGCTCGCGCGAGTGTGGGCGCAGGATCGAGGAGGATTTCGAATGACGCTGAAATTTATCCCCCGAACGCGTGACAGTCGGACGAGCGGAGGAGCTGGTCGTTATTTTTGCCTTAATAACGCGCTGAGAAAGCGAATCCGACACTCTTTCATTATCGATAAGCTCGGCAACGCGCGCGACGCGAAGCAAAATCCGCATGCGGCTTCGTTCAAACCCACTCCGCGCGATGTTTCTCCTATTAACGTGTTGACTGCCGCGTTATTCAGATATGGCTGACATTTTCACTTATTTGATAAAAATTTTACTACGTTTTTAGAAAAATATTAAAGTTATAGTTAAACAAAGCGTCGTGCGAACATAAATTTTGGCGGTCAACGTGTTAAAGTGCGGATCGGCCGAAAGTGATCGTGCGTTTGCAGAGAGAGAAGAAGTTTAAGTGAAACGAGAGAGAAGAAGTTTAAGTGAAATGAGAGAAAAATCAAAAGAGAGATTGCGAAATAAACGGAAGATAAAGAGGACCGAAGAGGTGTTTGCCGAGCGTTCGCGGGCGGATTTTCGCGGACGGCTCTCTTCAAACTTCCGCGTCGTTCAACGAGCCGAGTTTCAGTGAAAGTGACGAATGTGTTGCTGTCCCGCGCTCATCACGGCCCGTTTACTTTCGTTCGACACTTTGGAAACAGTTTCGAATATTACTCCATGCGACGTCACGAGTTGCAAAACACACGCAAGAAGCGGCGACTCCTTCGGTCGCCGGAGTCGACACTGTTGCGAACTTCGGCGCAAATCGGCCTATCAATTAGTTGCCGACAAGTTATCGCGGCGGCTTACAGGCCGGCTATCGCGAAACGATCTTCCCGCTCGCCGTTAATTTCACGTGAATACGTAACGTCAGGACGCAACGTGCAATGAAACTCGCGCGACCCGAGCGTCCCGTCGAAATGTCATCCCATATCGCCGCCGACAAATCGCGTGTAAGTTTGAAGGCGTCTCAGCCCGACGTCGCGGCTACACTAATCTCGAGACAGCGGAACGTCTTCCCGCCGACGGGGAAGCTGACGTTCGTTACCTAACGTCGCGTCGCGGATGGCTCCCGGCATGATGGATGAGTTGAAATTTCCGAAGGACGAGAGCAGCCTGTGTATGCTCGCTCGCTCTCTCTTTCTCTCTCTCTAATTCTATCTCTTTCCCGTTCTGTCGCGTCCTGCTGCTCCTCACGAATTTAAGTCCTTCGCGAGGACGATATAGCACCGTCGGTCCGCCCGCGAGGAGAAAACCATCTCCGCGAGAGAACGATCCCGGGCGAAGGATCGCACGCGTCTAAACCCGACGACGGCGTCGGCCGAGGAGTACCTACCTTGATAGTGTACATAATCTCTCTGTCACACGAACGCCGACGACCAGAGGAGCTTGAGAGATGCAGATGGGTTGGTGGTACTTGTGCTTCTTCGTCAGATGCTTCGGCTCTTTATATACGCGACGGTGCCAACGTGGTGCAGTGAAAGGGGTCATCCCTGCCCTCTCTTCACAATACACTTCTTCTGACCAGTGCATCTTCGGAAAAATGTCTGGGATGAATCAGGAGTGGTGACTCCTCCGAGTCATTTCATTTCTTTTCTCTTTCTCTCTTTCTCCCTCTCTCTCTCTCTCTCTCCTTCCCCTCCCTCTATCTCTCTTTCCTTTTCACTTTTTTCGTCTTTTCTTATTCTTTTTCTCTCGCTCGTCGACCCTCTCCTCCCCACCCCTGCACCTCCTCCCATCATCCTCCAGCGTGTGGTTCCGGTTCACGTCGGTCGCTCGAGATCGATTCCAACGCGCTTCCTCGATCGGACATCCGGTCCACGGCCTGCGATCAGAGAAGAGGAGAAGGGTGACGTGAGACGGGTACGGTTCCTTTTAGGTCTGGTGCGCGTTTTTCAGCGAAAACGTGGGCGGAGTCGATGGGTATCGATAAATCGAGGAAAAATACGCGGTGTGCGTTCCAAAGAAGCAATTTTAAATATAATCTCTCGAGACATCAGCGGTACTCTTCGTCGGTGACGCGTACATTATTGTTCGTTATCTCAATTTTCAATTTTTTTCATTTATGAATGTAATTAGGAAAACCTCGGGGAACACGTGGCTCTCGATCTTAGCTCGAAAATCTACCTAGTGTAAAATACAGATGGTATGTCTGAACTCTACCGACAAACCTGCACGACAGATTCTATGTTGAAAAATAAGTGAAAACGTCTTAGTAAACATAAATCCGCAAAAGCTTGATTTTTGAGATAGTCTTCGGAGGATGACAAGGATGAAAGGAAATGTGTCGCGATAAGCGGGTTAAAAATGTTAACACGACACTTTTCTCACCTGTTTTTGAAAATAATACCTATCAATTCTGATATTTCTGAATATTAGCCGAAGAATCTTTCATTGTGACATTACGTTGTACGCAATGGTGTTAAAAGTAAGGCAGACGTTTTGAACAATTTTCACAACAGTGTCTAATTACTTATTTATAAAATACGATTTAATGAGTAAAATATATATTTTTTTAACCAAGATATTACAACAACTATATCTCAAAAATTAAACGTTCAAGAACATATATTTACCAAAACATTTTCGCTTTTTTTTTTATATAGAATCTATCGTGTGAGTTTGTCGGTGGATACGCCCTGTGTATGATACATACATATCGACAGACATATAATATATAATATATACATCATAAGAGAAAGGGGGGAGGGGGGAGGGGGAAGGATATTTGACGCACACATGAGCCACCAAATGCCTCGTTGATCATAAATCATTCCTCAGCCTCCACATTAAATTCCTCCGCCATCCCGAGGTCGATTTTTCCTCAAGATCCAAGAGATTGTCGAGGTGTCGGACGGTCGCGGACCGACATCCCGCATATTGAGAGCCCGGCTCCATTGTGCACGGTCGTCAATGGACGGACGGATCGACGGTTGTTTCTTCTGACTCGACAGAAGTCGCTATTGACGCTCGCGGCCGCTCGCGGCGACAGCGATTACGCAAAGTGGAGCAAAGTGCATCGCGCGCATCGCTATCGGATGCGTATGCAAGGATGCAATGTCTAGGTTGGTTACGGTCGCATCGGCTGCATGACGTCGTTCCTGTGGTGGCGCGTGGCGATTTCCTCGGTACCATTCATAACAGCGCGACACGTAGCGCGATAGTGCGTTACGGGTAATGCATGTACATATACAGAGGAAGCGCATACTTTACGCGCGCGTGTCAAGTCGCTGATAAGGCCGCTTGTTGAATTCCGTACGCGGACGATAATCCTAACCTGTGGCCCGCTCGGGCATATTTCTTCACGTACCGAGTCACATAGAGAGACGACGATACGCTCTCTCTCTCTCTCTCTCTCTCGGCATTCAGCGTTTATTTATTCAAACACGATTAACAGATATTCCGGGCGATAATCGACAATAATATTGTGCGCGTCGTATTTATCTTGCACGGCGCGGCTGCTGTATTTTATTTTGACTCTCCATTATCGCTATATTATTTTTACCGTGTATTATTTTGTTCATCATTATAGTATCTACGAGTTTTATTCCAACGTATCACACTGGGATCGGCGCTCCGTGATAATTATACGCTATCCTCTCTCTACTTTTCACATTGTTACATCGCGCGCGTCCGTCGAAATGAGTACGCTTTCAAACACAGCGGTCTATTAACTTCATTCATACCTTCCCACCGCGTTTTCGTGACTCTTATGAAATCGAGTTTTGAGGTCGCATTTATGACATCATCCACGTGGAAAGTGAACAGCAATGACGCGACGAGCCGTCGTTTTCAGGATTCGCAGGAATCAAAAGATTATTGCGCAGCGCGGCTCGTCACGCCGGCGCTTCATTCCGCGACGCGGTGATCACGGTGCGTACGTTCTTGGAAATGCGAAATCTCTTCATAACTCGGCTTAGATCCGATTACATCTTGCATGTATAAAATATTTTCTATTTCTTTCTATAACGCATAATGCGACCACGTTGAACCGCGCGCTGACCTTTGCAATCGCTATCGGCTATTTTCGACTTTTAGCGACCAGATCGTAAATCCGCGATTAGATGCCGAGAGAAACGACAATGAGAGAGGCGACAAAGCCGCGGAGAGCCACAATCCGTTTCAGAATCGCCGAAATCGACCGCAACTCTCGTCGTTTTTATGCAAAAGAAGGAGGAAAAAAAGAAACAAGTACATTTATCTCGCGTCTCATGTATCACGGGCTTGCGGACAACCAAATCTCGAGGCCCTCACGTGTATGCTCTATTAAAATGTCGCGATTCAACGATGAAATTGAATTATCTCCCTTTTTCGTTCTATTAAAACACGCGGAATCCCATCGTCCTCTCTTTTTCCCCGCGGAGTTATTTCTCAATTTCACCATCTGGCTTCCCTTTTGTCGTCCGCTCAAAAGCGTCCATTCAACTCTGACATTTGTCGCCGGCGCACGAAAGTCAGCTGATTTACAGTTTTCGCGAATCGCCGGCAGCTTTATTCGGCCTGCCCGCGGTATGTACGTGCACGCATGTGTGTGTGTGTGTTTCCACCGGTGCACGCCGGTCCTTGAAATGAATTACGTCGACCGTTACGCGACGCATTCCTCGAGATCTCCCGGTTGCATCTCCCGGGCCGCAATCGCGGCCGAGGGTGGTCGTTCGGTTCCCGAGCGTACGATTCGCCCGACTTTCCTCTCGGCTCTCGTAATTAGCCCTCGTTACGTCTACATACGGAAGCTGCGCCCTTTCGCCTCCGAACGCTCGCTCGCGCGACCTGGGGACTTTGCCGGCGATTTCGCGCTCTCGCTTTTGACATTTTCGTAACGACTCGGTGATGACAGCGCGGGAGAACGCGCGTGGGTGTGTTGGCGCTTCGTCGTCGATCGTCTTCGCGACTCCTCGCGTGCTACTTGGTCTTTCGGATGCGCACGGTTCGCCTCGACAGGTCTCTCATAATAATCCAGCAGAAAAGCGCGACGGAGAAAGGCGCGACTTAATTTCTGAAATTATCGTCACCGCGCGTTTTCGCGCTCGCGCGAAGATGCTGTGTACAAAAAATTCGTCAACAAGAGAGACTCGTCTACAATTGTGAAAAATTATAGATTATTATAGATTTCGGAAAAAAAATCTCTCTTCCCCATTTTTCCGCGGATATTCTCTTGTTGCCCACCCTGCGGCAAGTTTTAACCAAACACACGCGAATTTTTCTCAACGAATTTTTGTATCCTTAGGAGAGAAACCGAGGAAATCCGCGGAAAAATTGAGCAAAAATTCGGTTTTCGCCCGAAATTTTAAGACTATGGACTTAGCAACAGGTCATTGTCAATCACAATAAGAAAATGTCCTTTCTGCCGAAGAAAAGAAATGCCGACGTTCCGTTTATTCATTAATTATCAACGGAGACGAAAATCGATAGCTGGACGTCAACACGGAGCCACCGTGTCGAATTTTCCGCTGCCGCAACGCTACGAGACGAAATATATATTCCCCTGGACGTCACAGGCAAACGTTATCAGACGCAGGATAACGCGCCGGAGTGACATCATCGGTTCCGTCGGTGCGCGTAACAGACGGATAACGTGGAAACAACAGATACGCCTGCAGATATTGTGTGGCGCATCAAAGCAACCGCGTGCTTTGCGTAATTTCCAGTCATTCACAGCCAGAGAGGCCCAATAAACACCTAGCCGCCGCGATCGCCACGATCGCCACGTACGCCGGCCACGAGCTTCGGTATATACATACGTGTGCCTTGATCATTTTTCGAAATCTCGCATGAATAATTAACGCGTCTTCGAAACGCGTCTCTGCACGCGCGCCGCTCTGCCTGCCGCCAAGACGGATAGGCCGTTCACCTCGTTTCGGTGTCGTGCAAAGGTTCGATCGGGAGATCGTCTAGCCGGCGAGCAGTCCCTTTATTAATCTTCGTGTCGAACGTGCGCAACCTTTCTCGCGAGCCTCCACGGCCATGCACCGACATTTACGTCGTGTCATTCATGTGACGCGGCATCGCGAGCGCGCGGACCGTAGAATGCGCACGATCCCTCGGAAGGCGGTTTGTCCTCGAGCGCGGCTGAAAGGACTCAAGACACGAGCGCGCGTGCCGCTCGTCCTGTTTCGTTCTTATTATCGGATACCGTTTATACCGGTATCGATACAGCTGTTTTCGACGGTAGGAAAGGTGGAATATGGGCGAGCGGGGAAAGGAGGAGCTTGTAACCGAACATGTGGAAACCAAACTAACGGGACCAGTAAAGATTGAAAGATTAAGGGTGACTTTCACCGAACACTATAATTAGTCTAACCGACCGGGTAGCCGTATGTCACCTGCTCTGCTTTGTAGATAGAAATCATCATCATCAGCTCTTGCTGGTGTGGATAGAAATTATTAATTTTTTCTATTATCGTGGACTATCTCGAAGCTCTCGTCTCGTCTCGTAAAAAAGATAAAATATTGCGAGCGGGAAGAGGGAGAATTTGTAACCGAACGAAAATCAGACTAACGGGACCGATGGGACTAGTGAAATTGAAAGATCCAGAGTGACTTTCACCAAACTCGAATTAATCTAAGCGACAATCTGGCGTTGCTCAGTCGAAATATTGCTAAGATATGACTAATAATATAAAATATATAAGATATCATTATTCATATATTTATATTAATATCTCCATTAAAACGGCATAACCTGCATTTATATAATTATTAATAACAATAACCGAAAGATTAATAATTTTTCTTAATAATTTTCCTCAATTATTTTTTCCTTAATTATTAATTTTTTTGGCTAGTGTTGAACATCGAGTTATATTCACAGATGAAAATAAATGATTTAATAACTGCGCTTGTTATTCACTGATTCGCTACATTGTAGTTTGGTGAAAGCCACCCCGACAGAGATCCGCGATTTTCCCCCACCGATCGATCGCGATAGACAATTGCGATCCTCGGCACGACTAAATGCATACAAATTGACTGCAGATTCCGTCCTTCTCGAGGAAAGAAATCTCTCGACGAATTCGGTCAATGCGACGAGCGAACGAGTGAAACTATTATCCTCGCGGACTTAATCGATCTCACGTCGCTGACATATTTCGATATCGCAGACGCGCCGGGAACGCGCGCGATTGAGACGTAAATCCCGCTGAAAAATTCTAATTAAGATCGCGCGCTCGGCTATTCGAATCGTCGGGGTGTAGCGGGGAGCGGCCACCTCGGGGAGAAAAAGGAGAGATAGAGCCGTGATCTTCCAAGGGAACAGTGCGCGCGATGTGATCCTCGGCTGTCCGCCGTTTAACAGGTGATAATGTATAGCACACCGTGTGTATTAGAAACTCGGAAGGGATCGAGCGAGCGAGCGAGCTCACCGAATCCCGCTCTAACCGCGCAATTTGTCGGGCCTTCAAGACGACCGATGGTGCGCACGATGCCTCGCGCTAGTCACGTCTTCGCTTATACGCACAACATTGGACGAAAACCTAAGACGCGTCGTGAATTAATGAGCCCGCTTGTGCAACAGCGCCGAATGAATCATTCTCGAGCGCGCTGGGGCCGATACGTGAAAAAAAAAGCTTCAGCCAAATATAAAATTACGCGATTTTGCTCTCGCAGAGCGTGCGGCAAGCGCGAAATGACGCGAACGGCGCAAAAGAACGCGCGCGTGTTTGTACAAGGATGATAAATTAAAATTGATCGAACGGCGCGATTAAATAATATTCCGTCCGGTTCGCGTAAATACACATACACGGCCGACGCTTTTTGCTCGTTAATATTTGGCTCTCTTTGGCTTTCTGAAAATACAGCCGTCAGCCTGGTCATTCGCTTTTTATTTTTTCATTTCCGCTCTTACCTTTCCGGCCTTTTATTTCTTTTCTCTCCTCAAATTTTGTAAACGCACTTGGCGGGGATTAAAATTTGCATTTTTTTCAATTACTCCAACCATTGCGTGCCGATGGCTCGTCATTGACGGCGTGAAAATTGCTCGATAACTCTGTTTTAACTCTCTAAAATACGAGCGAGATAATAGAAAAATAAATATACAAAGGAATTCGTACTGATGCAATTAAGCGGCGTCGCGAAATAACGCGTAAAAATCGAACGAATGACGCAAGGCTGTTAGAGAACAGTTTCTTTTTTTATTATTGGCACTAATGCCAGAGATGTTCGACGAGGACGTCGAGGCGGGGGAAAAGGAAAGGCGTTCCTCCTCGGCGGAGACGATGCGCCTCTCGGCGTGATGCATAATCCAACGTAAAAACGCGGAGGCTACGGCGCGACCGTTGAAACATTTCAGGCCGACTGGAGGAGACTATCGGCGACGGTTAAAGTCATAATTTGCATTCCGATGGGTGGTAGCCTCGTCTCCCATGGAATTGCTCGGTTGGGGACGCACACGGATGAGTACGCGCGCGAACAAATCGTCGGCGCGAGACTCAACTGAGAGAGGATGAGACGGTCACGCAAGTAGCGCGTGCACTCCTGCGGAGATCGTGTGGGTACGCGTCGCATGTACGTGCACGTGTATCCGCGTGTACGCAGGATCGGGTTAACGAAGCGACGAAGATTACGCGAGAGAGCCGCCGCGGTCTCTCGTAATCGTGCACTGCCGGCTGGGATTTCGGTAAACCGAGAAAGGAGCGAAGGACCGAGCGAACGAGCAGGATCAGGTCGCGTCCTGCTTCGAAAAAATCCGACTGTCGCATCGAGCCACCTTGATTTCAACGCTAGAAACGCCGAGAAGACGAAAAGACGATATGTTTCTTATATTATGCAAATTTCGGTAAACCAAATATATGTTCTTTTTCCGTTTCTTTACTTTCTTCAAGTACGAATTTAAGGTTAATTTAAGGTCAAAAGAAAATGATTTAATTTTACACATAAATATGAAATCTGTCGATTATATGGCAGTAATTTCTCTTTTTCCAGTTGTGGAATTTTGTGGCAAATATTCATTCGCAGCAATGTTCGTTATATTTTTTGTCGACAATGTTCAAATTGAAAGAAATAGAATGGGCTGCACTTGGCAGAAAAAGTAGCAGAGAAAACCCGCTTTGCGGCGCGCTGGTGATGTTTCGCTGAACAACACTTTGGGACATGTTTTCAAAATAGTCCAGCGTGTTAAAAATATGCTGAAAATAGCGACCTAGTGTTAACGGAAAGTCTTACAACAGTCACAAACAGTCACAAACGTTTATTAAGCTGCTTTATCTATCTGAACCTCTGCGTAATCATTTTGCGCAGCCACTGAATGTACATGTTTTCCTGATCAAATTAACGATGTTTTTGTGTTTTGACATTATTGATTAATTCTCAGATTAATAGCGAACATTTCCGGCCAATAATGAGTCGAATCTGACTCAGTGAAACGTCACAAGATGATAAAAAGTGACGGAGCAGCCGCGATCCGACAGCAGCCACGTAACACACGACACGCCGATTGACTTCGCTTCGTCAAGTAAATGCAACCCGGCGGTCGAGTAAAGATTTCGAGGTAAAAATAATTTCCGAGAGTGCGCGACCGACGAGATATTCGTGCCGGAATGCGGGGTGATCAGGAAGTTCGCGTTTTTTGAAAAATCGCTGGCGTTCGCCGCGGTGTCACGCCAGCCGATAAAACGATAACGACAATTGAATTAATTAAACAAAGTCATCCGCAAGGTATGCCATGAATGTGCCGGCTTATCTTCCTGCTCCGATGATTGAAAGGCGCCGATGGCGGATTGCGTTATTGATAATTGCGTGAATACGCCGCCTCGCCGCAGACAGTAATATTACATCGCGGATGTTTCAGATGTTCCTGTTATGCGGACGTTCAATTGCAATTGCTATGGAATGATAAATTCATACAACAATCCCCTCTACAACAATAATAATAATAATAATAACGCATAATAAGCGTGGTAAACACGTACAATAATAAAATAATAATAACAATACATTTTGTACAACACACACACAAATATTTATACTGTTACTTCACGTACACATTACTATTATTATCATCATTCGATTGCTATCATTATACCGCGTAATCATCGATACGAGAGAGACGACCATCTCAAACGTCCTCGCCGTTTCCTTCAACGAACGACGAGGATGGCGGCTCTGCGCGGTGGATCACCGGCTGTTTTCATATTCCCGCGAAACAACAACAACAACGATCGCTAATAATACGTTGGATAAGCAGTTAATAATCGGCCCGCGAGAAATAAACGCACAATCAGCGCGACACGGAGCTTTCCGGCACACCCATTAATCATAGATCATCATCGCGGATCGAAATAGCATCGGAGGCGAACCAAAAGAGAGAGAGAGAGAGAGAGAGGCCCGAGCATCGCGTTCCGGGATCGGGTTCCGATTCACGTACGCCCCTGACGACGATCGTGTGCAGGCGTATTACATGTAATACAAAACCGCAGGCACTCCGCAGGCGTGACGTAGCGCGGGCCCCATAGAGGCCGAGTTACATGCCACGGTGTCATAATGCGCGCGTCCTTTGGAGCGGAGCCGTTGCTTCTCTCGGCGCGAGTTGCGCAATCGCGTTTAATAACGTCGGACAGGCAGCGGCACGGTGCCGCGCGATTGCCGTGCTCGCTCGCTCGCTCGCGGACACTTATGACACTTCAGCGGATTTTCACGGCGAGTGGACGGGGCCGAATAAATTCAGCCGACGAATTCGCGAACGAAAACGGCAACGTCGCGAAATTATCTCGAGTTAAGCCCGCGATTAAACGAGCGTTAGTGCTCTCGCACGGCCGGCGCACACCTGTGTAGGTGTGCCACTGTATTAGAGGTGCGGCGTTGCCACACAGCTCTTCTCAGGTCACGCGGAGATGACCGTAGAGGGAAAACTTTTTTACAGCCGGTTATTTACAGTCAAATTGATGGAGATATTTATTTAACTTCGCGTCGACACGAATCTTGCGTGAACAAAAAGACGAGACACCGGCCGGTTCATCGATCTGTCGCGGTGAAGCTTAGGTTTAGCAACAGAGTGCGTCGGCTGTACTACGTTTCCTATTAACCGAAATTGTACTAACGAAATTGAGAGGACGACATTGTGCAAATGTAATCTGGAAAGTTGCAAGTAAAAAATCGGATGCTTTCAGAACTTTTATGCCACACGCAATGAAAAAAAAATCAAAGGTGAACGAAGCGTCAGCCTCGCGCGAAGGCAATGGAGGGATAAGCCGGCGACAAGATTCCCACCCTTCCTCGGCCCTCTGACCGCGCGTCGTCGCGGGATCATTTATCTTTTCTGATTTTCCTGCAAGGATCTCTCTCTCTCTCTCTCTCTCTCTATCTCGATCTCGTAAGTTCACCCGGGAACGATGGCTTCGCGACGCCGGTTTCGTCGCGTTCGTCGCCGATTACGCGCGCCGCGCGAGTCCTGCCGCGCGCGTCCCTCACGCCTAATATCGTTGCATAATCTGCGAAGTGCAATGTAAGATCCACACGTGCAATTACCGCTCGCGCGCGTCGGTCCCGATCGCTAAAGACATTTTTACGACGCGTCCAAGTCATTTCTCACCACGCAGAGAGGCGGCGGAGAACCCTGCGGGAGCTACGCAAGTAATTTCACCTATTGGTCAATTCGTTTAATTTCACCCGCTTAAGCGCGGACACGTGTTCCGAGCCGCGGATCACCGGCTATTTATACACCAATTTTCATTCCGATTTGCGTTGCAGGTAATTGTTGATAATTTACAGTCGGCCGCTCGGAAGCCCCCCTCGAGGGCGCGCGATAACAACACAATAACCGATCGGGGGGTAAAAAATATCAAGGCACACATTATGCACCATTATGTACGAATAGTTGGGTGCACGGCATTATTATAATTACGCTCCGTGACGTCGGATTTCTACACTCGTGAACTCCCGGTCACCGGTTCGAAAATCGAGGAAAGAAAGCCGGAAAAAGCCGTTCCCGCCGGGTCCCTGCGGGGCTCCGAGTGAAAATTGTCACTTAAGCTTACATCGGGGATTTTCCTTCTCTCTCTCTCTCGCTCTCTTTTTTTTTTTTACGTTATTCCAATGAGAGGTCGCGCGTATGCAAAGCGAAAGCCGGACAGGAAACGAGGTGTAGCCCCGATCGTACGTTACACGAGGACGTATCACGCTCAGGAGAGAAATTTATATTTAAACGTGATCCCTCGTCCTGCCGAATTATCATAAACCATCTCGTCCCAGATTATCCGATTTATTCGGCCGCTCGGATACTCGTTAAATGTCCTTCAGATTACCCCTATGGCGTGGCGTAATCGGTGATATTCAGGCGCATCGCGCCGCATCATCCGCCACGCGAGAGGGTTGAACCGAGAAGAGAAGGCGGACTTCACGAGATGTGCGAATATATATCCGTTAAGATAATAAACAACCGCGCGGATCGCGGTTATCTGCGCGGCGACGGCGACCAGCTTGACGATCGAAAAGAGAGAAAAGATACCGGCCGCGCTCTCGTGTAAAGCGCTTTTAATAACTGGTTTCGCGATATCCTGCTTACGACGGCAGCTTCGGCGTAAATATCTGATGCACTTTGCCAGGCGAATTATGCATTTTGTTTTCCTCCTTTCTAACACCTCGCGAATCGATTTGCGCGACTCTGCCGTTTATTATGCGCGTCCTCGTGTAATCGATCCCAGCCTCCGTCCGAAACTTTAATTAATTAAGCGACGCTTATTTGACCAGCAGAGAGAAAGAGAGGGAGTGAGAGGACGGACTCGTAAAAAATTATCACGGGGAAACGAATCGCGCGAAGATGATGATTAGAAGACGCCGGGTGTGATTTGTTCAAGCACCAACATTTCCAGAGGCTGAATTATATTTCGTTTTTTAATAGGGCGTTTTATCGAAATAAATGAAGCTGCATGTTTCGGATTTTTCCCGAATAAAAATGTGTATAATCGACCTGAGTCGAAAGCTAGCTGGTACAGGTTAGATTAAATTTTCTAGCTCGTTATTAGTTCATTACTGGTTGATCGTTCACTAAAATGTATAGGGTGAGGCAAAAAAAGAACGATAGCGATGTCTATTCTAAAACATATAATCTAGTTGCTCGCCACTAGTGTTTAAAAATGAAATAGTAAATAAAAATTAAGAGTACTTTATTCCAGAAAAATCTCAAAGAAAACAGAAAGAAGAATTTACACATTACCTGGCAACAATGGCAATTAGTTACGATTTTTCATCTCGTAACTACAAGTTCTTCTGTTTAACAACTAACTTATTTATAACCAATATCGAATTACTAGAAGAAGTAGGTGTTACTTTACCGGCTAGCAGCGACGTTGTATACAAATTTATTTGACACTCAGGAAATTTAATTTCTGCTAGGATTAGTTATGATACATACTCCTCTATGATTCAGGTCGCATTATGTAATCAACAAGTACATAAAATCCAATGGATTTTGACGTGATTCTGCACTGGCGATGTTTCCGTGAGAATAATTTAACGCCTACAGGAAACATCCGTATGTCTTCGTGTCCGCGTTATCTTTAGCCATCTTGCGGCTCGGCCGTCACAACATCAAACATTCCCATCTTTTAATCTGCCGATCGTAAGCGCCTAATTTACATGCCGCAGCGCGTCGACTAAAAATTGTTAATTAGCAGGAGGCTCGCGCTTATAAATCATTGTACGCGATAGCAATCGTGCGTCGCGATTACCATCTTTACGGTTTCAGGTACGCCCGAGGCGGATTACGCAAGCGTAATTGTCAATTATTACAGATCAAAACGCGGCAGACGCGCGAACAAAGGCGACAAAGGCGATATTTCATCCTAGGCTCGGCTCCTAAGCGGCGATTATCCAATAAATAATACCGGCAGACCGTGCTCATGCTACGCGCACTCGTTAGTAAACTTGACCCTCCGCAATTGCCAGCTTGCTCGAGCCTACGTCGAATTGAAGCGATTAATCGTTTCCGGAAATTGTTTATTAGAGGCGGACGCGCGCGTTTGTTGACTCGCGACCGAATGAATAATTGCGAGCGCATAATTACTATATATTTATTTCGACAGCGGCGGGGACCAATTTGGACGAAGAACGAGAAAATCAAACAGATCCAGCGAAAGTCCGATTAAATGATGTTCCAATCACGCTTCAAATAAAATCTTTCAAATAAAATCTTACTTTCTTACTATAAAGTAATTCGATTGCACGGGACGCCGAGAAATGCGAGAAATGTAGCCGAGAAGAAGTGAGTGCGCCTTAAAAATATAAATAATAATTGTACAATCAAATTTTTCGTCAACCTGACAGAAGATTTCTCTCCGTTGGGAATAAAGTTTCGCGAGAAGAATGTTATTTCGATATTTTCGTTTAAATGACTCGCGAAGCATCGGATGCTCAAGATCGTATTTACGGACTTTGCATTGTATTTCTGCGAATAAAGTATTATCGCAAATTATTCTGAGAAAACTACCCATCGCGAAAACACTCGAATCTCCGTAAAAAAACTCATTTATTTATCTCGGAGTATGCCGCGAGAGAGGGAGAATGTGGAATCAAGAGTAAATTCGGAGTCGCATTGTTTCCTGAGGAATCTCATTTTACAAACGCTTAGATTATATTCCGATTAACCAGGGCGGAGCAGGTGACACGCAAAAAATGCTGCTAAATCTTTGTTCAGTTGGAAGGCTGCGGCGTAAAGATGGGTCAACCTTTCGCCTTGCGATTATGTAAGGCCTCGGACTGACTGACCTTTAGGTTCGTTCACGGCATGCGGCATTTACGTAATTTACCGATTACGATGTATTAGAGTCTTCTTCTGCGCCTGGAGAACAGTTCTCCTTCTAACGCTAATATATTTTCGAATGCGTGTTAAACATGCACCAGATTATATACGGCACACATTTGCGCGATTCGCGATAGATACGTCGAAAGTCTCCGCGTCAACGATTGACGCAATAATTTTTCACGCGAATTCCTTTTCTCTTCTTTTTCAGTACGCTGAGAGGAAAAATCGATTTTCTTACAAGGAAACATATTAGAGTGCCTCTCATTGATTTTTATACACAGTTATAAAGAACATCAAATAGCGTGAAGGTTTTGTTTAAAAATATATTTTATATACTTTAAGGTTTCAGAGATATCCATTGTTTCAAAACAATCAATTTGACCAAACTTTCTTCGAGGGCTCAATTTCTAAACGTGCGGGTAAACGTATATAAAAAATATGTGTCCGTTACTTTCAACTGCTCTTCAACATATTCAATGCCCGTCAAAACTGGTGAGAGACATTTCCATACGTTTCTTTGTTAGACCCCCTCTCGGAGAGTAGGATGAAGAATGGAAAGTGGATCTCGATGATAATAGCGGAATAAATCATGGCTCAGAGAACGTTTCGTTATTCTATTTATAGACGTTTATATAGACGTTATTTATAGACCGTACAATTGAAAAGTGTTGCTCCATTTGCTGAATTCTCAATTACGGATTATGCGAAAATATCACGTCTAATGTTTTATCGGATCGTTGGAGAATAACTCAACTCGCTTGAAAATTACTCAGTCGATCGTGAAACGACATTTAATTGTTAATAACATTCCTTATCAATATGCACCCTATATATCCAACCAAATCGGAGAGAACATATTTACTTATAATTATTTCAATATTTCGTTGATTAATTAAGAATGTGTTTGAAATTTTCATTTGTAACCAGTACCGCCGTGATATTTGCCTACGAAGCAAAAAGTCTCTTGCTAAAATTGAAAAATCGAAGTTTCAAAATAGTTAGCATAAAATCTTATTAGTAAAGCGCACACTTTTTTTTCTTGACTGCAGAGTCCTCTGTACCCATAGTTACCATTATCGACACGTAAAGCCGCTCACAACGAGCCGCATTACCGACCGGTGCGACCGCCAGCGTGTGTTTACGAGAACATTTTGTGCACTACCACGTGCGAGACACGTTATTGCAATTAGTGCCGAACGTCATTGCCCGAGTTTCCGGATAACAGGTGTCAATAATAATCACTGAACACTTGCACGTTCCAAAGGATGTTGGAGTCGACCATTCAAGCATTAGCAAGTGGTAGAGTAATTTTGGCCAGTGGATCTCCAAGGCGACATGACATAATGAGATATTTGGTAAACAATCACACGATTGTATGAATAATCTCGGTTGGTAATATGTCAATATTACACCATATATAAATATATGATGTAAAGTTGATTATACTACTGATCATTGGAGTAAATTCAGAATGCAATTAACGTGTGTCAACATTCATGATTCAGCGAATAAATGCAGATATAGTGCCTTCCTTGTATGATGAGAACCTTGATAGGTCCAAATACAACAATCATTGGGAATACGTTCAGGATATAGCCAAGTACAAGGTGCTTGAGGTGTATGAGCGATTAAAAGCAGACTCAGTGCCACCCTCATTGATAATTGGAGCTGATACAATGGTAACGATGGGTGATACTATTTATGGCAAGCCACAGAATGAGGCGGAGGCTTTTCAAATGTTATCTAGGTAATAATATGCACGAAGCTGTGCTCACCAAGTGAATATAATGCCCGATGTTCTCTCTTAGTCTGGCGAATAAGCAGCATGTCGTGTACACCGGTGTATGCTTGAAGACACCAAAGAGCCAAATTCAGTTCTACGAATCGGCAAAAGTCAAATTTGGAGATATATCTGAAAAACAAATAAGAGAATACATAAAAACAGGTGATTCTATGTGAGTAATGTGCTATTGGTATTAACTCTGGGAGTGACGCTGTCTGTTGCATCAAAACGAAACTTTGTTTCAGGGATAAAGCAGGAGGATACGGGCTCCAAGGGATGGGGGGCTGTCTGATTGAGAAAATAGATGGTGATTATTATACTATAACGGGTCTGCCGCTATATTCATTATCCAGACGACTGAATCAGATGTTTTCTAGTGTTTAATGGGAGCATTATGTTAAGCTTGACAGTACCTGAAGGACAACTATTGTACTATCGTTTCTACGTGAATAAATGTTTTCACGCTAAAGCCAACGGAAATTCACGAATTCCTCCCCGTGTATGTGTGCGTGTGTATATTCAATGGCCCAACATTCCGGTATAATGGGCGTATTTGAGCGCGTGTTAATATCGATATCGCGTTCATTAACATTCATGATCATACTGCGTGCCGTCAAAGACACAAAGCGAACCACCTATCGAGATCATAATTAAATCATTCGACGTAGAGATTACGTTCTCGTTCACGCATTTTTTCCCGTTCGTTTAATCTTTGTGTGTGTGTATGTGTGTGTGACAACACATATAATCATTTCTGTGGCATATTTTCGTGAGGTCGACAAAGAATCGTATGTAACATTGACAAATGTCCTCCACCCCCCCCCCCCCCTATACATTTTAAACTTTGGCTATAAAGTCCGATTTGTCGTTACGTTATATGTAATAGGAAAATACTTTCTATTATTGAGATTACCCGGTGTGGCGCATCAGAGCAGCAATGTATTCTATATACGGAAATGAAAATATACTCACACAGAACACGTTTATTTCTTCGAAAAGTCGGAGGACGTTCCGTTCCGTGCCAACAATGGCAGCCAAAAGGGCGTTGAACTATGTCGGACGAAAATATATCGAAATATATCGAAGCGACATGAATGTTGCTACATATGAAAAATGGGGGACGTCAAATTAGTCGTCTTTCGAAATAAAATGCGTAAGTGAAATATGCACGTGTTACAAGGAATCTCGACGATTTCGCTGGTTAATTAATATTTTGCAGCTTAAAGTGCGTCCTCGAAATCGAGAAACCGCGAGGAGCCGTGAAAATCTTATTATTTATTCTCGCCAGTTTGTTCTGCGCGGCGCCTATAAAATTCATAAATGGCGCCATCTCGTAAAGTAATCTCGAGACCACGAGAGTTTTGCGCCTCGGATCTCGTTCTTCTTCGCGAAACATCAAATCGTTCGGTGATGCACCTGTAACCTGTTAACATCTCAAGCGTATTCCCGATTGTCCAGCATATGTATAGTAATTAATCTCGATTCGATAGCGCGATTCTGGTTACGTGCGTTCGTCCGAGAAGATGGAGGACATTTTGAACGAGGTTGTTTCCGCCGAGGATTTAAAGGTAATTATGCAGCGAGAAAGAAACCTCCATAACGCCAATATCGTTCGCGTTTCGTCATGTTTCTCACGCCCGTGAACCTTCAACCTGGATCAAACAGCATAACGATAACGACGTTATGTCCAGAAGTTAGGTTATGTTAGGTTATCATTAGGATTTTCCGGGAAAGTTTTACTCACTTCGGCGATATTTATCTACTCGTATCATTTTTCCGCATATCATAAACACTTCCGAGAACGATACGTCAGAGAGGAAGATTTTTACGAACTATAGAGACCTGTCATTATCATTCAGCATGTTAAGAGAGAAACGTCATCGTGACGTTTCATTTCACCGAGAGTAATCTACGTTGCCAATAGTTTATTCCTGGAACGTATTACAATTGATTTGACATTGTGAGCTACTCGCCGCTGTTTTTACGAAAACTTCCGTATAAATTGTCAATGTGGCAAATTTTATCGGCTCCCAACGCGAACATTACATCATCTTGTAACACAATCGTTGTATTACGTTTCAGAAATTCGAACGCTTGTATCACGAACAATTGTACTCTGAGGATGTTTCGCAAAAAGCGCAATTCGAGTATGCCTGGTGCCTTGTGAGAAGTAAATATTCGGCCGATATTAGGAAAGGAATATTGCTATTGGAAGATCTCTATAGCAAGCAGTCAGGTAGCGAATGGCGTGACTGCCTTTACTACTTGGCCATTGGAAATGCTAGAATAAAGGTAAGATATATGGAAGGTAATAGTGAGCACACGTGTCAAATGCCTCATCAAGAAGAAGGATCTTGAGTATGGATCGTTGCTTCTTTACAGGAATATACAAAAGCACTGTCGTACGTCAGAGCGTTCCTTCAAGTCGAACCGCAAAACACACAAGTACAACAATTGCAGACACTGATAAGGAAGAAGATGGAAAAAGGTTTCCCTTTCATAATTTATTATCGGCTTAAGAGAATAAAAATTATAATTTGCTTAGGTGTATTGTCGCTGAGGGGCCTCTGTGACATTCTTATGCAGTCGTATTACTTTTGGTTGCTTCTAATAGTCTTTCTATTTTCCTGGGTTGCTAAATTCTACATTTATTCCACTTAATAGAAGCTTGTATCTTCCTAATTCGCGCTAATTCAAGGAGACTTTGTTATTAACCTGGGAAGAATAATGAATATATATATTGCATGCTTGTGTGCAATAATGTCATAATATAACCTCTTCCACATGACTTTCAAATTTCTAGTCATTTTAACTCCGTTAGTTTGATCTTTTCGTTTTTTTCTCTCTTCTCTGTGATAGCAAAGTACAAAGATATCGCATTAATATCGCCTTTATTTTAGTACGCAAACTAATACATTCTCAGTAGTTCTGTCGCTAGCCACTTTTTTCTCATCGCTGTATTTTGCTGTTCGTCTACTTGTACCGTTTCCTCTGTACATTTTGTATAAACAAGTAATAAAAATTTGTATCGATGACACGAAAGACCTATTTAATATCTTCATGTTTGTCGGTGACGTCGTGCTCTCTTTGCTATTGACTGAGTCTTGCAGAATTGCAAATGATAACTGTTACTGCACTAATTAATTTGCGAGATTCTGTATTTACTAATCCTGAATTAGAATTTCGAATAACATCTCTGAGAAGCTTATAGCGATCACAGTTGAGCAATTGGAATTGGCGTTGAATCTCGTTTGTTTCTTTTTTTTGCAGAGGGTCTTCTCGGTATGGCTGTCGCGGGAGGCGTTATTATCGGTATCGCAAGTATCGTGGGCCTGGGCATCGCGATGGCCAAAAAAAATTAAATACCCGTGACAGAGAGTTGTGTGATATCGATATATGATTGTGATCATAGCTAGTATTCGCGAAGTGGTGTAATTTGCCTCGTAATTACTTGTTTGAAACCTGCAAATCTGAAATGGGAATGATTAATGTACCAGGACCTCGACCAAATCCAAAGAATGCAATCTGTGACATCGGCGTTAATATTGCTTTTGTATCATTAACAGATAAAAGACAGAGAGCTGAAAGGAGAAACTGATAGAAAAGAAAAAAAAAAACAATGATCCACTTGTAGATTGAACGCTTGCAATATCAATATCACTTGGTGAATCATGTTGAATATATCGTTTAAAATATTATCACTCGTTTTATACGTATATGTCTACATGTCGTGTATCCTCGTGATATTCGCTCAAGATTTCATTTCATTCTCGCGAAAATTTCATTTAAATCTTGCTTGTGCGGATACATTCCGGCGCTGCGCGTCCGCTTCTCTCTTCCTTTGATTATGATATGGTGTTTGTTTTTTTTTTTTAAATTAGACCGGCTCTATAATGCTAGTTATATGCGATTTTAGTTTAAGCGAGCCACCAAAGCACTACGATAAATAGAGCATTTTGTACATAGGTAAACGACGTAGTGCGGGCGATTTGTTTTGTTACCGGATCCTCTTGACAGAAGTCGACGTTCGGACGATGTTCTCGCCGCTGCGAATTATGCTCTTTGCATGCGCAACTTTGCTCAAAGCCGCTCGGAACCCGACGATCCTATCGTAACGCAATTATGTAGAATATAGGACGGTGTCCCGCTTTTCATTTGCGGTATCGCTGAACTGAAATTTATTCACACGGAAAATTTAGCATAGTTTCACCCGTAACGAGTTTGCGGCTCGACGGTACTTTATAATACAACCTCGTTCGAGTGTTCATGCATGTATCAACACTGATAAGAACGAACGGTCTGATCTTCGGAACGAAGCGTTCGATCGTATTTTCGGGCTCGCGCTCGGCGCTAAATCTCTGACTGTCCGACTCGCGCGGATACGCGTGTTTACCATCCAATGTGATCTTCATATTACGCAAATGCGGCCGCATTACACCGAATGCAGCTACCCGGGGTCCCTTCACGTGTTTACGCTGAATGCGATTTCCATACTAGATAAATGAAACTCTGAATTAGGCACAGCCGTATCTAGCGTTAAATGCACCGCTAAACACCGTTCGCGAATGTTGACTCCGGCAACTCCGGCAACAAATATATGACCCGCCTTCACGGCGAATATGTAGCTTTATATGTAAAACACACGAGGTTCAGTTCCTGAACCAGTATTTTCCATGGGGTTTCAAAGACAGCAGGAAATGTCAGCATACTCGAAAAGTGCAGAATTTTGTAACTTAAATAAAGACCATGTTAAATCTTTAAATCTCCTGCTTTCTTCTCGGTGAATTCACTGGACTGCGACATACCACGCCCGTCGCTAATCCCCCGAAGAAACGAGAATTAAATTAAATTCGACGGGGAATTCGAGGGAAAGAAACGTAAAACAGGATTCAGACGATATTTTTTTTATATATAGATTTATTGATGACTTCTTAATATCCGTTGATAAAGTTGTTTATGTACAAAATAACGCTGGAATATCCCTATTAATATTATTATTATTTTTATCATTATTATTAATATTATTATTATTTTTATTAATGATCTATATATATGTTATGGCCCAGGGATTCTCTCTTTCTCTTGCTCATTCACCCTCCCGAGAAAGAGAACTGCCCTCTCTCCTCGCTCGGTTCGACGAGTCAGTAGTAATATGTTCGCTTGTCTCCTTCCGTTCCACGCTAAAACACGACGGCGATGATGAAACGACCTCCACGACGTCTCGTGTCCGCCCGTTCTCGCCTTCTTCCCTCTCGTTCGCGCGCGCGCGCACGACAGTAATAATATTTACACGCCGATCATCCCCTGTGTGCGGATCTCGGCACCTCCGTCGGAAGGAGGACGAGAAGAAGGCCGACGCGCTTTGAACGCTTATAAAAGAGCCGGTTGACACGACACATCGTGGATAACTCGTCTCTCTCTCTTTTTTTCTCTTTTATGGTACAGCGCTTAGTAAAGATTCGATAAGTGGGAGAAAATGGAGTATAGGCGATGAATGCGATTTTCGTAAATCGTGTCGCCCCGCGTCCCGCCGCCGCATTCGGTCCACCGGGGGTGCGCGCCGCCGCGCCCGTCCCCGAAATTTATTTGTCTAATAGGATCGCGCGGGCGCAGGCGAGTGCGCACGCCCGGCGGAATGGAGATCGGACGGCACTCGCCGCCGTCGCCGCTAAATGCGTTCCGGATCGAATTTCGCCTTTTTTTTTTAGCGTTAACGAGCCTCGCGTTCGACGGGACGAGAATCCCGAGAGCGGTCGGACGCGACGCCGCCGCGCCGCTGACGATCGGAATGATTTTTTTTCGACTACGCACCGACGTCGGGGGATTCCTCGGCGCGAATTCGCCCCGTTTCGAGTCCGTTAAGAGAGAGAGAAGATTTACGCACGGGGGCGCGCGCGGACACGGATCGTCCGAATTGCCGGATCGTCGCGGACGTTCGGCGCGCGCTCGCGGCGTGTCGGATCCGGCGAGAATGCGGATCGTTGTCCTCGGAGAGAAGGGGGTGTATTTACAACGGAGTCGGGGAGACTCTATTTTGTGCCCACGGTATAACGACATTGACCTCGCGGTTAGTCCGCGAGACTTGCGGAACGGTTGCGATCGATAATATGCGCGGAGAGTGATAACTATTCTACCGACCCGGATTGTTCGCTCCCTCCGCGGCCGTTTCAATAAAAAGCGGCGCGATCGCGGCCAGAAGTGTCCTTTTTTTCTCTCTCTCTCTCTCTCTCTCTCTCTCTTTCTTCCTCTCTCGGATTTCACCTCGGATGCGAGAGAGGCCATCGATTGATAAACACCACGGGGGGACCGCGTTTACACGCGAATCACTCGCTCAGGGTGCAGCCGTTAGAGCCGATCGCGAAAAATCTACCCCGCGCGAATTCCGTGAACGGCAGTTATCGCGCTCTCTTCTTCCTCCCTTCGCGGATTTTGTCTCCGTAAGCGTTTTCCGGCGGATATTTACAAGTGAGCCCGGCGGTCTCTCGCGCGCGATTCGAGAGACTTTAATTCACTTTTCACCGGTGTGAAACCAGAGTTTTGCGCGGATACATTAATCCAGCCTTGGCGCACGACGGTTCTCAAACTCTCTCTCTCTCTCTCTCTCTCTCTCTTTACATTTTTTATTTATTGCTTTCAGTTGCGAGGCGCTTTTCATGCGGGAACGAAATTTTGCGGAGGATCCGATGTTTTCGTAAAACGCGCGAGTTCGTCCGGTAATTAAACTCTTATCCTTTCCATCCAATTCTACCGCTATAACGCGGCCCGGAGAAAGAGAGTTGGAGTGCGCTCTCCTTTTTCAATTTCCGCGATAATTCGTTTCGGACAATAACGCGGCTGTTTTCGTCGGTGCGATGTTTCTGAAAAAATGCCGGGAGAATAGAGGAAGTGTCCCTCCATCTCTCTCTTCCTCTCGAGAGCCCGCTCATGCATCAGCGATAACCGCGATCAGGAAATTCGCAGAACGGGTCTTTACGATAATCCCTGGACTGCACGTGTTATCCGTGGATCGCAGCTTCCGCGTTCCTCTCGCGCGCGATTCCGGGCCCTCGTTGATCGCGGAACGCGTCCGCGATCGTCGAGTTCTTCCCGTTCGCCTTGAGAAGGGGACGTCGCGTGTTTCTCTCTTTTCTCTCTCTCTCTCTCTCTCTCCATTTCTTTCTCCTTCTCTTCCCTTTTCTTTTTAACTAGCGTAGGAATTAATCGATAGATTAGCAGCTTGAAAATACTTTAAGCAGTTTAAGGATGAATATTGCTTTCTCAATAAGGCTCCGCTATGCTTTACACGAATGTACAGTGTGTAAAAGTGTGTGTGTGTGTGTGTGCGCGTGAGTGAGACTGTATGAATCGTATGCGTGTGTGTGTGTGTGTTCGGCTTTCGCACCGATCAGATCTCGACCGGGAACGCGCACCCGATTCCTCGCCGTCGCTTCCCGTACCTAAAGTGCACAGAGACGAGATTGAAGAATTACATTCGCCTAGAGATGTCGGCCGATCAAGGGGGCATCGAGTTCCAGCATTCCGTTGGGGCGCGAAACCACGCGTTAATGACACACGACACTCCCATGGAATGTGCACACCGGATTCAGCCGATCGTACTCGCCATCTCGTCCCGACGACACTTGGCTCGACGTGTGTCCGTACGATATATCACAAATTTAAAACTAGGTCTAATCTAGTCGTAATTTCGACACACAATGTATTATTATTGGCGAGCGAAAGAAGCTCACTTATCTGTGAACTACCACCCCTCCTCCTCTTCCTCCGTGGATGGAATTAGCTTCCTTCCTACCGAATTGCGAATCCGATTAATGCACGGGTAATTAGCGACGAGACCGACGTATTCTCGTCCTTTTGACGTCTCCGAAATACATCGCGAGCGGTCTAATTGCGGCTCATTCAATTCCCGAATCGGTCCGTCCAAAATTTCGCGAGATTTCGTTATTCCGATATTACAGTCGCGCGCACGAAAGAGGATGAAATTATTCGAAGGACCGATTTTTTTTTCTCGAAATAAATTGAAGAATCGCGGAAAGGATTCCAACAACGGCGAGAGGAGGACTAACCTCCGCTCGCATCTGCCTTCGCGCCCGGGAGCCGTGTGCCGTTATCGCGCTTATGCGGGAATTGCGATTACAATGGCGCACAGAGCGCGTATTGATACTAAGTTTATCGAGAATGTTGATAAGCGCCAAGTGTTTGCACTGGCACCTCCGGCGAGATTGCATTGCACGCCGCTAAGTACGCGGAATTCGTCAATCGACGCCCTGTCGCCGCCCGATAACGGCGTCGCGACTCGCGGTCGAATGGCGGAACTCGAGCTTATCTCCCCTCAAACGGCAGAAGGAACTCGGATGAGTCGTGTGTTATGACAGATATGATGAAACGAGAGGTGTGCGCGCCTTTTGACGCGCCGCCGCCAATTCGGGGCCGAGTCACAATGGAGCGTGGGAGTGAGATGTGAAGGTGAATATAGAATACATATTATAATACGTTAATAATATAAGATGTATATATACATATATATATATATATATATATATATAT